CACTTACTGCCTTTGATTTGAATGCGTTGTCTTTAACTCCCTATAACTCCTTCACATAAACTCCAAATTCAAAATATCTTTCGCAAAAGATGTATGTCTTGAAGTTGCCCTTCCAGCCGCACCTTCCGATCTCCAAAAGCTTCCGTAAGACTCCTCTTAAACTCAAAAAATTAACAGTAGGTCTCAAATTGACACCTTAACCTCAAACGGCTTTAACTTATTCACCCGAACTCCAAACCCTATAAAATTTGCACAAAAATTGTAGCCAAAACCCTAAAATTTACAATCCTTGCCTCTGATTTCCTAATGGCCTCTTTGAAGTCGCCGAAACCCTTATCAAGGTCGCGGGCAGCCTGCTAAAAGCCCATTGGGCATGGATTTCGACCAATGGGGATGAAGATCCTTATTTCTACCTTCATCCAACCATGCCTTGGTTTCATCTCTCCCAATTAACCTCCTATTAGTTTAAATCTTCATCTTTAGGCCCCTATCTCCTCTCAAGGCTTCATACTTAACATTAAGATTCTATAACTTTTATATACTATAATCAAACTAAGTAAGGAAAACAAAATAAAGTTTTTTTTTTTTTTTTTTTCTTTTTATACCAACTCTTTTTAATTTAATCTATTATCCACTCTAACATACATTTAGATTTATTAACATTTAATGTGTACTAACTAATTTTTACATACTATAAGCATTTACACTACGACAACGTCATGTCTTTTGGACTTACAAATACACCAACAACATTCCTACATCTAATAAATGATGTCTTTTGAGAGTTTTTAGATGATTTTATTTTTTGTTACCTAGACGACTTTTTAATCTATTCTAAGAACATAGAAGAACATGAACTTCATATTTGTCGTGTATTACAAAAACTAAGAGATGCCAGACTCTATGCCAAGATAGAGAAGTGTGTATTTCACACTACTCAAGTCAACTTTTTAGGATACATCATTTCAAATGATGGACTTATGATGGATCTTAAAAAAATTTATGCTATTATGGATTGGAAGATCTCAATAATGATAAGAGATGTCTAATGCTTTTTGAGATTTGTCAACTACTATCGGATATTCATCAAAGACTTCTCTCAAATTGCAGCTCCACTTACACATTTGACTTGTAAAGACAAACTTCAATGGAATCAAGAAGCAGAAGTAGCATTTGAAACTTTGAAGACCACCTTTATTTCTGCACCAATCTTATATGGCGTTGATTTTTGTAAGCCATTTTTGTAGAAACAGACAAATCAGACTTTGCTTTGGATGCTGTATTGTCACAAATGGGAACAAATGATAAACTTCACCTTGTAGCTTTTCATTCCAGAAATTTTTTAGCACCTGAGATCAACTACGAGATCCACGACAAAGAACTTCTTACAATTGTGGATTCATTTCAAGAATGGCACCATTATTTAGAAGGTTCTCCTAGTCTAGTTGTCGTGTATATGGATCACAAGAACCTTAAATATTTTATGTCAGCACGTGTTTTGAATTGTCGCCAAGCCCGTTGGAATATATCTTTGTCAAGATTTGAATTAAGATCACTTATTGATTGGAAAAACAACAAGGTTTGTCCGATGCACTCTTTAATGATCTTATCTTGCACCAAAGGAAGGAGATACTGCTTTTGATCAGCAATAGATAATTCTCTTCAAGCTAGAGCATCTTCATCTTTGAGCAATGAAATCAACACTAACTGTTGATTTAACTTTCATTAAGCAAGTTCAGTCAAGTATGTCTTCTAATCCTCTTATTCGTGATATTAAGGAAAATCCTTCAAAGTCTCATGATATTTTCGAAGTTTGAATTCAAGAACAATCTACTATATTTTGAAGAATGCCTATATGTTCCAAATGGTGAAGCTTGATTACGTGTTCATCAAGCTCATCATAACTTTTCAATAGTAGGATATTTTGGGTATAATAAAACTTTGGAACTAATATCCAGGGACTTTTGGTAGCTCCAAATGTGGAAAGCAGTCAAAGATTTTATACAATCTTGTGATGTTTGCTCAAGATCAAAAACTCCTCGTCATCGACCTTACGGACTTCTTCAGCCATTATCCATTCTAGAACAACCATGATCTTCTGTTTCTATGGATTTCATCACAGATCTTCTAATCTCAAGTTCTTATGACTCTATATTAGTGATAGTAGATTGTTTTATCAAGATGGCACATTTTGTACCTTGTACAAAATCCATCACAAGTGAAGAAACAACTAAGCTCTTTCTTGACAATATCTATCACTATCATGGATTACCTAAGGATATTATATCAAATAGGGGAACTCAATTTGTATCAAGATTTTAGCGGAGTCTTTTCAAGATTCTAAAAGTGGATGTAAAACTATCTTTGACATTACATCCTCAAACTGATGGACAAACGGAGCGTGTTAATTAAGTTTTAGAGCAATATTTAAGATATACCATCAACTATCAACAAGTTGATTAGACAACTCTTTTGCCATTGGCAAAGTTTGCTTATAATAATACGGTATATTCTTTTATAAAATTAATACCTTTCTTTGCTAATTATGGTTATCATCCATGACTTGATACTTTTGACTTTTCGAAAGCTGATAATCCTGTGGCAAAAGATTTGGCAAATCATTTATCACAGCTACATACAACAATGAAGGCACAGTTAAAAGAAGCTCAAGAACAATAAAAGATCAATGCGGATGTCTATCAAAAGGAACAACCACCATTCTACATGGGTGATAAGGAATGATTAGTTTGTCGCAATATCAAGACAACTTGTCCTTGTGACAAGTTGGACTATCGAAGGCTTGGATTATTTTCTATTTCTGTACAAATCAATCCAATTGCATATCGTTTACACCTATCAGAGTCAATGAAAATCCATCCAATATTCCACGTGTTTCTTCTTGAACCATACAAGATAGTGGACATACTAAGAAGAAGACAAGCTCCACCTCCTCCTATAGAAGTATACAATTATGAAGAGTTCAAAGTTGAAGAAGTCCTAGATTCAAGGAGACGTCAAAATAAATTAGAATATCTTGTTCATTGATGCAGATATGATACTAGTGAATATACATGGAAACGAATAAAAAAATCTTACAAATACAACAAAGGGGGTAGAGGCTTTTCATCAATGAAATATATCAAAATCAAGATGAAAACCTTTTTTATAAAAGAAACAAGATCTAGGCAAGATAACATTCTACTTTCAATTCTTATTTGTAGCTTCTTTGTAGTTGTGACAATGGAAGATGGAGAACCAACAACCAACGGATTTGACTCAAGAGCCTTTGTTTGCTGACCTACCAGACGAGCCATTATAATTGTCACAACCTTCAAGATGACACAATCGAGATGAAGATCCTCAAGAACGACATGTTCTTTCTCAAATAGATGGCAAGATACAATGCATTTGGTATCACGACCTTGGAAGGGACTCCCGATATTTGGTGATTTTACTAGAAGTAAGAACAACTCATGATGGTGTTCTAAATGTTTTATTTGAAGGAAGTTATGAAGGCCTCAACAATGATCAAATAACTGGGTGATCTTCCTACCCTGGTAAGGGACACTATCGATGGTTGAGAGGCCCTATCAATCATCTTCGAAGAGAACAAAGATCAAAGTATGTGGCAAATTCAATTTGTGGCATCTTAGACTTCCTCGACATGTGATTACCGCTCCTCACAAAATTCGTCTCTAGAAGGGGAGTTAATCTCACGGACATATATTTATTGTAATTGTTACCTAGGTGATATGAATAGGTAGAGGTAGATAAAAGTAGATTAATTTCATAATACCTTATAGAAAAGCTTCCTAAAAGCTTCATAGATGCTGCTTTGACTTTACATATGTTTATACTTGATTGATAGGTTAGAAACTTGGTCAATAAGTTAACCACATGCCACATATGTTGGTAGCTTGCGAAACAAGCTAACTATGTAGTATCCACATGAAAAACTTACCTTGCAAGTTAAGATACGTATTGTATAAAGTCAATACATTTTTGGAGGTCCTATAGAATGTCGCCACATAGCTCCTAAGTAGATAGTATATATAGAGGTAAGAGTGAAGCCTTCTTCACTCTTGTCAATTCCTTTCTTGCTTCTAGTCTAGTTTCAAGGGTCTCTAGTTTTCTTGCCTTTTGCAATAGTCATTCTAGTTTCATTCTTAATATACATATTTAGTTATTTCTATTTTGTCATCTTTCTTTGAGAAAAGTTTCACTTGTTTACTTGTTTTGATTAAGTTTTTGTCCTTGATAGGTAGGCAAAGACCAAAGAAAGATATATCATCAAAGAAATTTGCATCTAAGATGCTTGCATCTAAGACTAAAGGTGATAGTAAGAGAAGTGGTAATAGCTCATCAAAAAGTAAACCATCAACAAGCAATGTTGGTTTAGAAAAAGATCAAAGTGAATGAAAATTAAGCCAATCTTAAAAAGGAACAAGAATTGTATCACCTACTTTTGGAAGATTTATTTTGTAAAAAAAATGTATCTAATTCATTGGAGCTAAGACATGAAAGAAGTTTGATAGTATATTTTATAATGGAAAAGTAATCAAGTATGATCCAAAGGTGCACCAAATCTTTTTTTCTCAGCTTTTAAGTCATTGTAGGCCAATAAAGATTTGACACATGGACTTTGTGTGGTTTATTAGTTTTATGCCATGTCCTTTTGCATGCTCATATGCAATATGGTTTATGGACTAAAGTACATATAATACATAATGTTCTTGATTTTTGCTGGATCATGGTATTTTATACAAGACTCTTTTTCATTCAAAATTTCATTGTCCTCTTTGATATCCTGGAACCGTAGGCTTTTGACTCAACCGGCCGTAGGTACCGCGGATACGGCATTTACGGATTGATCCTGTGCACAGTTGTCATGGAAAATGGCTGTCTCTGTGCAGTTCCGGAATTTTGAATGCCACCTGGATGGTGAGGGCCCGGGCATCAACTTCACAACGCATCCACCGCACTCCCACCTGCATCTCGCCTTCATTTACTAATCTCTCGCAGCCCTGATCCTCTTCCCCTCCCTCCCACCTTCCCTCCCTCTCTCATCTCGACGATCACGATCACGACCTGCTCTGCTTTGCTCTGCTCCTGATTCTTGGTTTTTTGTTTAATGTTTTTCCCTCCTCTCCTCACTTATTTCATTTCCTTGTTTTTAAATTCTCTTGCTCTTTCCAATATTGGTGATTGCTTCCAGTCGTTGCTTGCTTCTGGCACGGTAATCGGGACCTATTTGGTTTGTGTTGAGTTCATCGTCGTTCTATTGCCTCGGAAGAGTCGAGCTTTGGCGCGGATTGCTGGATTTCGGATTTGATGTTTTGTGTGCGAGTTAGGGTGTTTGGTAATTCTGGTGTGGTTTAGTCGGTGATTGAGCTTCTGATTGTGCGTCGGAGTGGATTTTTTCTTGGTTTTCTGGGCTGTGAGGAGGGAGGTTTTGATTGTTTTTGGTGGGTTGTGGGATTTGGGGTGCCGTAGATGTTTTAATCCGCGTGGACGTAACATCTAGTGTGGTTTGCTGAACCAACTAACAGGATGTTCATATTCATAAGTGGAACTGAAGAGCCATTGGAATCGGGAGTTAGAATTTCACTTGCGCATTGATAATCACCCTGTCTTCCTCTATTTGAGGTAAGGTTAACTTGCACTATCTCTATTTAGTAGAAATGCCCGATGTCGTTCAGCAACCCGTGGAACTATTGTTCGAATGCTCTATCTGCTTTGTGTACACTTGGTATGTATTGAAGATCGCCATACAACAGGCAGTGCAATTCGGATTGCATCCCACTCCTAAGGTCTACTGTGTGCATTGTGATTGTGAAAGGGAGGGCAGAAACTTCGACAATATGACTATCCTTTATGCCTTAGTCGCGAGAGGGACGGTTGTTCTTGCGGAATTCAGTGCCGCTTCAGGAAATTCGAGTACAATAGCCCGCCGCATCTTGGAGAAGATTCCTCCAGGCGGGGACAGTCGGGTTTCCTATTCTCAAGATCGGCACATCTTCCACATTATGAAAGCTGATGGCTTGACTTTTCTTTGTATGGCTAGTGATACATTTGGAAGTAAGATCCTTTCCTTACCTTCTGCCATTTTTCGTTTTCTTCTTCTGCACATTAATTTGAGAACCCGGATTTCGAACGCCAATTTCAACCTTGGATGCAATTTTGAAGTGGAATGGCTTTGAAAAGCTTCGGCTAGCGGCCAGAGGAACGCTAATAGTTTTATTCTTTTCTATTTTTATCGAACATGGCAGGAAGAATTCCTTTTTCATATCTGGAGGATATCCACATGAGGTTCATGAAAAGCTATGGAAAGGTGGCAAGCACCGCCTTGGCATATGCAATGAATGACGAATTCTCCAGAGTTCTGCACCAGCAGATGGAATACTTCTCTAGCAATCCAAATGCAGATACGATAAACAGAGTGAAAGGGGAAATAGCAGAGGTATATTATGTTGCAAGCGACTCATGGGCTAGGAATACCTTGCTCTTTCTACGCGTACTTAGCTGAATCACCATCTTTTAAATCTAGTGATCTATCGCATCTGCTCAAGGCTTGTGCGTAGCTTAGAGCTGTTGTTTAACTAAGTCCCTCTGCATCAGGTTCGGGCTGTCATGGTGGAGAATATCGATAAAGTGCTGGAGAGAGGTGATCGCATCGAACTGCTGGTGGACAAGACATCCACCATTCAAGACAATACCTTCCGTTTCAAGAAGCAGTCACGCCAATTGAAACAAGCCATGTGGATGAAGAATGCCAAGCTCTTGTGAGTTCTTTATCAATTTATGAAATGAGTTGTGCAGTTTTAAGTTTTCTCAATCTTTCATGAATCCGTCTTGTGGTCGGATTGAAGTAAATGTTCGTTGACGTACGGGAAAAGGTTGTAAGTAGAGAGTGTAGTAGTAGTATTTATGAAACGTCGGCGACTTCAAGCAGAATCGAAAGTCTTTTAATAGTATTAGGGCGACCTGAGTAAGCCAGAAACTGTGGTTCTGTGTGTTCATGACGGAGAATGTCTCCTGTCATTGCCTTCTAAAAACCCTGAAACAGAAGTTGAATCTCTAGTTATCTTTCAAAAGGTACGCTACTGACTACGGAAATTGATGTTTGTTGCAGGGCAACTTTAACCTGTCTGATCATAGTCTTGCTATACATCATCATTTCGTTCTTTTGTGGTGGAATTTTTCTTCGAGGCTGCCGAGGATAAAAACGTTTAGTGGAACTGCATTCCCATCACCTTTGGACTTTCTCTTCGATCTTTTCAGCATCACATGAAGAAACTCCCTGAGGATACATGAGTTAACATCGGTTTCTTTTTGATGACTCGGAAATCGTTTGTTGTTGTTGGGTGAGTGCTTTTCATTCAACTCCAAGGTTGTTTTGATAATATGAGCACCGCAGAGTTCACGACCTTAACAAGTTTTGTAAACTCTAGCAAAGAAAGATGTTCAGAGTTTGTGGTGGATTAATGACATGCTAAGCATTAGCAATATCCTTGAGTTCGGCTTTTGAATTGGCGGGATGGATTTTCCACTGTAAGTGTATAGGCTAGGTTGATTTAGTTGTATTGTGCTGACCAGCTTTTTGGGGGGTTTTATCCAGTTCATGTATAGAACTGGGCTCCTTAGGTTGATTGTAAGTTATCTATGGAGATGACATAATGACCTATTAATTAGTTTATCAATGACCATGCAGGACATCTTCAACAGGGTTTTCAGGTGCAAAAGTTTGATTCTAGATAGATTTCTCTCTCTCTCTCTCTCTCTCTCTCTCTCTCTCTTTTTCTCTCTGGCTGGTACTTGCTCTGGTGGTTGCATTTCTACTTAAAATGATTTGATCCTCCTGATTTTTTTCCTACTAATATATTAGTTAGTGTCACTATACCCTTGGTGGAGCATGGAACAGGTTATGACTTAATTTCATCTCCAACCTCATTCTTCGTTCTCTCTTACAGTGCAGCGAGTCCCATCACACACCTTGGCACCCCGTAGCTAGTGCTGACAATCTATTGTGTGCTTCCATTATGCTCCAGGCTGACCCGTAACTACTGTAGCTGAGACGATCCTATCCTTTTGTTTCGACTCTCATGTGGGCCTGAGATTTGAATTTCAGTTTCATATACAGATTGGGCACTTTTAGCAAAAAGAACATTACTCGTGTCCTGAACCAGCATTTGAAATCTACTGTGGTATCCCCCTCGAACCCGCAAGCATACTCTAAATCTTTGGAGCTCCTCATTTTCACTTTCAACTGAACCGGAGTTAATCTTTGAACAAGTTATCGTAAACTATTATTCAGCTCATGATCCCGTTGTGTGGCTTTAGACCTCCATATATATATTGGAATTTCTTGTCTCTTCAATTTTTCGTGAAAGAATCCTTAAGTTAAATTCTTAAGAATTCTGCTCAAGTTAAGAATTCTTTTTTTAGCACGTTTGATCCTGCAAAACTATTGAAGCATACTGCACGTTAAAGACATGGTTCAAATTTTCGCACAAACACATACTTACAAAGACAGTTCTTCGGTAATTTTTCATGGAAACCGTGCTTAATATAAGTTTAAAAACAAAATCAGTCATTACTTTATTGCGTCTGATTGTGATAAGCACCCAGCGACAGCGGGCAAGCATTAGATCTAAAAGGACAATTCGTATCGACGTGGATGAAACCGCAAGAGCATTAGTGGGGCTGAACTACAGAGGGTCTCAAGGGGAGTGTCGTTGGCGGGGCATGGCAACGCCGACGCATCAAGCAGAGCTCGCAGTACCTTTCACAAGGCCTCGCACATGTTCACAACAACGACACACGGAATGGATATGCTCTCCGGCACGCGACCTTTGAAGGAGAAGAGGGAGGCAGGAATCAGAAACCTCAGCAGAGAGGTGGGGCCTGAGCATTCTAGCTATGCGGAGGGAGACTGGGAAGCCATGAAGCAAATCGAACCAGAGCCGGCAACAGGCTGTGCCATAATTTTCTATCATTTGCATCATTTCAGAACATCATCTTGCGCAAGAATCGATGTTCGGCTCCTCGTTGCTTTGCTTGTGGCTGTGCACTCTGATCACCAGGAGTCTAATCGTTCTCACGACCACTCTTTCGTCTTCTTTCCTAACCTCAGCTGTTCGTTTCGTTGTGAGGAAGTACCTGCATCGGTTGGGTGTTTAGAAAGGAGGGCAGAATATTTGGTGTTGTTGACGAATTGGGAGTGGAGGTTGCAGTCCATTAATGTCATTAATGATTAGCATGCAAAGCCATGACCGTTTGGTCAGAAGCGGGCTGCCGAGGGGAGATTGGACCATGAATAATGTTGCAGGTGGAGGGAGTTCCAGCCAGCGGTTAGTAACAGCAGCTTGTAGCTCGAATATTGAGCAACCCTGTACAACGGAAATTACTGAGAGCAAGGAGGCTGTGAGTCACGACATGAAGCTGTCATTTGGGTGTGCAGACGATGACCATCCCGAATGGCTATCAATCGACTCCGTTGATATGCTATCTCTCATCAGACTTGGTCAGGATTCTACCTCCTCGGCGAGATAATTTCATTGCACTGAAGTGCTTTTTTTTTCTTTCTCCATCCTTGATTGTTTTGGTTATCGATGCTGCTGAGTCCTCCTCGCCCTGTGCGTGACAGTAGCGGAATTCGTTTCTACCTCATGCCCAGAAACCAGATTTCAATAAAGGATCTCATCAGGAGTAGAGCTTCGATTGGGAAGTATACTTTCTCTTAGATCAGCCAGGCTAGTGTGTGTGTTTGTGTGTGTGTGTGTGTGTGTGTCTGTCTGGTAATAGAAATGAACATAGAAAAGAAAAGGAATAAGCGCAAGCGCCACAGCCCGAGCAGCTTCCACGATTCCAAACTTCACGTCCAGCTTCACTGAGTGAGAATATAATAGGTTCCTGGTTTGTAGATCATCCAGAGGTGATGGTAAGGAAAGTGGAGATGCAGCATCACATGCACGGAAATTTCGAAAATCCAAGCAACTACAGTCCATCGACAATGGTGAGCCACCGTTCGACTCAGCGTGTCAGTAGGCTGTACGAAATCACTTTCGTCGGGACAAACATGGCCCCAGGAGGCGTCCATCACCCGGGGCCGACTGAATTTTACACAGGTTTATGCCTTATTTGTCACGATCCCATACTATTCCATGTCGATGGGCGAATCTGGATTGCTTTTGTCACAAAGAGTCAAATGCAAGCATTCACTTCAATTCTCTTGAAATCTAGCTGAGACGCAAGTTTTTCTTCAACAGGGGGAATTCAAAGGTCCAGCTGCCCTGCTGCGCACACCAGGAACGTAGATTGGCGTATGACGCAGACAATAGAGGGGTCATTGCGCCAGATCATGGCTGAGTGTCCTACCTTAACGTCAGCGGAACGTACTCCAACCGTGCGGCGAAAACACAATTGCCCTACTGCTGATTCGACCGCGAAACTCTTAACATGGAAACGTATGCGATCAGAACGTGGAGTCAAGTTTCAGCTTGCGTTAAACGCGATTGAAACCGGGACAATAACAACAAGCCATCTTGCTCGCAATATCTGGCCTGGTATTGCGACCGCCGAAAGCCGGATCTCGAAACGCACGCTGGAGTTACCAAATTATCGCGCCATATCCAGAGTTGACAAACGTCGTCAAGCAGTACCCAAACCCCAAGTAGCTATATTGGTCTCAAAGGATATAGAAGAATCCAGTAATGCAGCCAAGCGGTTCCCGGTAATGTCAAACAGTACTGGAAATCCATTGATGATGCCGTGGATCTTGAGGTCCAAATTTTTGGAAGCAGCTCGAACGATGCTAAGGGATGTCGCAGCTCCAGAGCCGATTACAAAGCAGAGATCTTGTGACTACAACCGTTATCTTGCCTTTACCGTGTCGCCTGAGCATTATTCCACCTTCGAGCCCATCGGCGAAAACGAACGCTCTAGATTGAAGAAGTTGAAGACGGAGCTCCAGGCCTTGATCGTTAAAGTAACAATGCTCTCAAGCCTTACTTCACGCTACAATTAACTTAAACGCGATGTCGTATGTAAACGCAACCTGCATAGTCGGCTATGTCATTCAAATAAAAAAACTCGAAGAAGAAAATGCTGTAGATCACGATTACTTCTGTGACGTTTGAATGGGTGACAGGTGGGCAGCGGGTACAAGAAATACCGTGGGTGTTTAGAGACACTGCGAAACAATTTTCACGCAAGGGGAGGCCAGGACTCCGCTCTCACGTACACCTCTCTCAGTCTACAAGCCATATCACGTAATTTCAGGTAATTCCTCATTCAACCATGACGTTCGAACCTCTGACGAGTTAAGCATTTACCGATGCTTGTGATCGAGATCATATAATGAAACTGCTTAAGTTGGTGTATTATTACACTCCATAAGAATTGAACATACTTCGTTTTCTTCTTGCACCAAAGTCACCAAGTTCATCATCTCTAAGAGACATTCATGTTATTGGGTTGTTTGTGAGATTTTCCAAGAACAATGAAGGATCCTGTCGATGGAATTCTGAGAATTTGCTCAGAGGCTTTGCGAGAAGACTTTTCCCGTGACCACCCGGAGAAACCCAACGAATGTCGACAGCGTTTGCATCGGCGGACCGTGTCCCCTCGGAGACCCGCCCAGCGTGGCCAGCTTCCTGAGCGCGCCGTAGCCATTCTTCGTCGTTGGATGTTTGAGCATTTCCTGAACCCGTAAGTTACTCAAAGACTGAAACTTGAATCGGTTAGCAATGTAGGTCGCCAATGATTAACTGGAATGGATAGATTTGTCGATTGGAAAACAGTTAAATGGTTCTTGTAATCTGACACCAGTTTGTTGCGGCGCAGGTACCCTGCTCTTGAAGAAAAGTGTTTTTTAGCAAGAAAGACTGGTTTGACGAGGCAAAAAGTAAATTTACTGAATCCTATTGCATGCTAGCGGTCAACCCCCCCCCCCTTTTTTTTTTTGTTGTGATTTTCGAGTTAATACACGGAGTGTCATTCCTGCTTTTTGAGCTTGCCGCAAATAGGCACTACCCAGTGATAGTTACGCTCACTGGATTGTAAACGTGCAGGTTTCCAACTGGTTCATTAATGCGCGGGTTCGACTTTGGAAGCCCATGGTAGAAGAACTTTATGAGGACGAGTTTGCACCGCGGTCAGAAACAGACGAAACTGACGGACCTGTTGAACAGCAGAGCGACACTCGTTGTGGACAGCGTTCTTAACCGTGACCACTGTGGCGACAATGAGTCGACCCGAGGGGCAGGGTTGGAGCTAGGAGCTTGCTGCCTCAACACTGAACAGAAACCGTCCTCCTCGGAGCCAGACGGTTCCAGAGATCTCGACGACAGAGCCTTAGCTGTTCCGGGGTTATTGTTGTCGTTGTTGTCGTTGATTGAGATCCAGCGACCTTGAGAGAAGTGTGAAACTGCTTCCATAAACGATGGATCCTGTCTTCTGTCATTCCAGCCGTGTCTTATATGCACTAAGTTAAATGAATAAAATGCCTTGCTATGTGAGCATAAACCAGCCAAGCGAGATTTGTCAACGTCCACTTTACTCTAACCATGACAGTCTTTGAATAAATATTAATTGTATTCTCCAAGGAACCAGAATCGCACTGTAACAAACTGGAGATATTCACGTGATCCCTAACTGCTCACGGTGAGATTTCAACCTGAATGCATGTCTTCACGAATCAGCGGTTGTTGCACGCGGCCCGGAGTCACAAAAAACTAGAAAATGGTGGAGTTTCTTAGTTATAGAGCTAATAAGCTGGAGCGAGGGTTGACATGCGAGTTCCAAGATATTCTCTTTGAAAGTTTGAAAAAACTTTGGTACTTCAAAACTTTTTAAAAAGGTGGGTATTGGAAGCTTTAATAAATCAAAGCTTTATATATATATATATATATATATATATATACACACACGCAAATGCGCAATCTGGCACCAAGCGATGGCAAGGTGTTTTGCCCCACAGCCCATTGCAGCGCATTCAGTCTCATTCCAGATCAAAGGCGGTCTAAGCAAAACTTCCTGATAAAGATTATCAACTCTATCTGCCTAGATGGCACTAGTCATCTAGAGTATTACGTGACTACTACCGTAAAACAGGGGTCCCGACGAATTTTCATTTGCATTCTACTCATACGCGGGACACTAGCTGAACTCCAAAAAATCAAGCCTAAGAAATACTATCTACACATTCAGGACTTTCGAGAACAATACTGAAATTGTTGATTCCAACTTTTAGGAAGTTGTGGCTAAAATAGTTGCTGAACTGGTTGTGCAGCAACGTAATGGTATGACGCCTGATATACAGGTCCTACTGAATGCATCAGCCTTAAGTAGAGAAGAGGGGGAATAGTCAGCTTCGTGCAGGTAAGGTCTTCCTTGGGGCACCTTCGTTTCTTCCTCAGACTTTGACAATGGGATCTGCATTTGATTCGTCGTAATTCCCTCAGTATAATGGTGGCACGTACGAATTTCGAAGTCGTGGCTGCTGTTCAGAGAAGGAGCTTCACTTACGGAAATGCTAATTCCCACGAGGTCCGGTGCTGTATCTCTGAAAATCGAAGCAGTGGTGGAAATGCGTCTCAAGTCCTTCAGCACTTCAACATCTTTCGCACTCTTGCCAACTGAGTTCTTCCTAGAATCCCAGTCAGATGACTCGCAGGTGTTCAAAGGGGGAGTGACTATCGAATTGGATGTGCACACAACAGAGTCCCCTCCATCGGAATAGGCAGGTGACACTTCCCTGAACGCAGATCTAGCGTTGATCTCCACCTTCGTGGTAGGAGCATACTTTTCCTTCGTCGAATGTAACTGGAACTGCTTGCTAAAGCCTTTATGTCTGAAGTTAGGTAAATAATCATCCCACTCCCCCTTGCTACTAGCATTTGACCACCTTGAACTTTCTGATGGCGGCATGTCCTGCCACGATTGGCAGGAATCAGGGGACGACCCCACAGAAAAACTCAATGATAAGGATGCTGGCCGTCCATGGAGAGAAAATCCTAGAAGGGCTTTCTCGGTGGGCATTACTCTGTGCCCAACAATATCAACATCTCTGTTCTTAGACTCAACTTCGTCCTCACCATCACAGTCTAGTGCGCGGCAACTAGGAGGCGTGCCAGTCAAAGACCCTAAAGCACCAATAACCAGGGAATTGCCTGTGCCATCACTTTGTCGAGTGAGAGGTGGAGAGAAATCGCCCAACTTCCCAATTGGCGAAACTATTGCTTCCTCTTTTGTTGTGGGTGAAGGGCTCGCTGCTCGCCTTTGATCCGACATCGCGAGATTCCACTCATAGAGCAGACCTTTCTTCCAGTAAACTAGGCTTGATCCAACGTCAGCAGCACTTCTGCTTCTTCTGTGGCATACAGCAGAAGAGGCGCGCTCTCCACGTTCCACCAAACGAGAAAATGAGCCTCGCGAAACTCTGAGGCTGGCATTCACGTCTCGCGCACTCACATACGTACTCTCTGTAGATGCTGGATGGTCAGCAGTTTCAATATCATAACCTTCAGCTACCATCCACTCCACAGACGCCAATGCTGGGACGGAGATGGTCTCCTTTCTATGTATTTCCTCGTCGGAAAATTCTGCACTTCCAGAGCTGCACAAGAACTCACCCTCAATCGTCAAGATGCCTCGAGGTTTGCATTTTCGTCTGTCCTTCACAGACCCCATTCCTTCGGGTCCCATCAAGGGACCTGCGCCAAAGCAACCCCCGGCAGAAGGAGGCACTGACCCCCTTTTCAAAAATTCTGGGGAGTTCGTTGCCTGGGGGGGAGGGGTCTGCTGATTTGAGACATACTGCTGCCGATTCTCTCCAGTAGAACCCGGAGGAGCTCCAGCTGCAGATCCTAGACCTACTGCCCTCTTCGTGAGCTCTGGGGACTTCGAGGAATGAGGTTCGGGTGTCTTGCTACCCTTCATCAAAGACTCGAAGCAGCTCACGCTGTCCTTAGAAAGGAACCACTCTTGTGCGACGTTATCCTCCTGCAGATCCCAGCTCGGGCTTGATTCCTCCACCGTAAAATCCCCATTATTCACCTCCGGAGACTTACAGGGCAGAGAAGATAGCATAACATCTCCACATACATCAGTGCTGGTGATATTGCTCGTATGTAAGTTCTCCTTCCCATACAAGTCCTCTCCGAGATTAGAAGTTGCAGCTCCACCAGATCGCCCATCTTCCCAAAACCCAAGGTTTCGATCACAAAGGGCTTCGGACCTTGGCGGTGACAACTCTGTCCAGTCAGAGTCCAACTTGCAAGCAGCATCCTTCATGAAAGACTTCTCCTCGGTGTTACGGGAGATTCGACGGCTCATCGCCATTATTAGATGAAAACTATTTCTTGGTCCTGGGGATTCCACAAGGGGAGTTACATCACTACCCAAAATCTTCCCCGCAAATTCAGTGCCCTTAGGCAATGACACGCTCCGCAACACAGCAGACTTACTCTGACCTTCAAGATGATTCACCTGCGTGCTCTTTAAATTCCGAGAGCCAATGTCGATATTTCTCGCAGCATGAAGTTCAACAAACGACTTCGAAGATGAAAGCGAGGGTGCTGAAGCGGGTTTGAAACTGGACTCTTTCTTTCCCTCAATTATGAAGTGTTCGATAAGATCTTTTCGTTTGACTAGCATGCCATGCTTTCTATTGCTATCCTTGACAGTGTTATCTTTTTTAGAAGGCGTAGTGAAGGATATGGCTTTCTGAACTGGGGGAGTGTCAGCAGCCCCTCTCAGTCTTGTCTTCACTGCTGTTCCTGAAGCCTTCTTCTCACGACGAAGCGAGGAAGGGCATCCCTCTCGTATGCGGTCCAAAGTAAGCGACCCCCGAGGACTGCGAACGTCAATTACGCCCCGGTTGGTTGCCAGCGTACAAGGGCCGTGGATACTATCTGCAAATCGTCGAGAAAGATCCACTCCAGGTAACATCGTCTTCTGCGCGCGCGGGATCCTTTTGTCTTTCATGCTCAAAGCATCAAATGCAGGCGAGTGGCTCCGGGACCTGTTATGCTCGCCGAGCGGCTTCACTGCTCGCCGCAGGGACTGAGTGGGGGTGGCTGCATGACATGTTGCTTCCCTTGGGGTCTTCTTTTCTTTGGAGACAGGGAAGAGCCCTGTGGACGTCGAATTAGGCGTCATCTCTCACTGTCTCCTCAACACTTCTCTAAAAAGCTTGTCCACCTCGCAGACCGGCTTCAATGGGTTCCGCATTCCCCTACAAATGACAATTCGGCTTCTGCGAACGCAAGCTATAACCCAGTCCCGAAAATAGGTCTACCCCAACATTGAAATCCATGATATCAAAACAGTTACGACATGGGCAATTCCTGACTAATCTCATCTGAAGCCCAGCAGCATCGCTGAACACACATCAAAAGTGAAGGAACCAAAGAGTCAATCACGGCGTAGAAACAAAGGCAGGCACCCACCTCTGAGAACTGTTGTCGTCTACGGAATCCCCACACGCGAATTCAAAGCCTTCACACATGTAACCAACAGGAAGTTGCAAAGGTAGGGAGAGAGAGCAACGGGAGAGGTGTGCAGCAGCGACGGTGAGAGGCACACGCTGGAGTCCCCTCGGGAGGGGCGAAAACAGAGCATTCGCAGAGGCTACCGACATCGAAGTGAATTCAAATTGAAACGATCCCCTGCAGCTTCGCCTCGTTTACCGCGCCGATTCGCGGCCACGTGGGCGGCGCCCACTGAACACTTGCGATTCCCGCAGCATTCCATCACCGCGCGGACGACTGATACCCGCCTTCGATATTGATACCGGTAGTACCTTGAATGAGTTTTCCTAGTTGTGTGAAGTGGTAACGAATACTCCACCTTGCCACTTTTTCAAAAGTGGTTCTAAGCTATAAATCCTTTTGTATCAATCTGTTTAATGTATTATATAATTTCTTTTAAAAATTTTGACTTCAATTTATTTGTGCCATTTAAAGGATTTAACACCACCCAAAGTTAGTTCATCGAGCGATTATATTATACATAATAAATACAGGAAATTATGAACTGCACCTAGCAATTTCGACAATTAAATCACGAAAAGGAAACACATGTATGAAAATTTTATTGAAAACCTTTCGGCCAAAAAAATTAAAAATGACACGATGTTTTTTTTTTTAAGTACTCCTTAGAATAAACACAATAGAATATAAATCTTCAGCAAAGACAGTATAAATTTTTGCAGTAACACTACTATTCCAGAACAATAAGGAACATAAATATTCATTCTATAAGGTAGTTGTGAGTTCTGTGGGTATAAAAGAGTTCAAGTACAATTTTATTTTTTTATTTTTTTCTTGTTGAAATATAGAAATGCTTCTTTCTTTTCATGATCCCACTGAATCTTAACTTTTTGATTCATGTGCACATAAAAAGTGAGTTGTAGAACTCTATAAAAGTGAATGTTTTAAACTCAAATTACGTTACAAACTCAAACTTTAAAACGTGTATTACTTTGCATATTAAATTGCATTAGCAATACAGATATTTTCCACACGATGTTCCAAAAACCTAATAATTTTCATCAAAGTTTTTAAAAATACATATATAGCCATACATTTTACTATTCATCCGTATAGGTTTTTTTTAACAGCTTGACCTATTTTACACAACCACGCAAACAAAACAAAGTATAACATTCTGAAAACGCAAACAAAAACTGGTTAAAAACAGGGTCTTAAAAAAACGCTCATGAAATATCCATTTTGCTAAAACAGTCAAACACGATCATGCAGTAGTGAACACTTCAAATGCTCCATTAAAAAAAGCATACTTGAATGGGGAGAGAACATCATCAACCAAAATGAGAAGGATCCCAATCAGTCTCAAGCAAGTTGGAATCATGTATTCTACTTCACGAATACTGTCATCCTGAACTTACTCTCAAAGTACCCAAAACCTTTGCAAATTCATATCGAACATCACAAATAAATTACTTTGAATCTTCACGGAACAGCAGGGAAGGAAAGAGGTCCACATGGTGTTGCGGTGTCCAAAGCCAAAAACAGTAAAAATTTAAAATTCAAATTTTAACTATAAAAAAAAAAAAAAAAAAAAAAAAAAAAAACTGATCATGGTTCATATCGTATGTGGGTTACGATCTCGAACAATCACTAAAAACCTGGCTCATATCATGGTCCATATCGTATCGTAACTCAATCGTCCACAGTAAATGCACATCCGAGGTAACTGTCACCACGTCGCTCTCCACAATATTGCAAGTGCTTATCAGGGATCCGAATGACATCGGCGTTCGATCTGCGCACGAGAAACAATGATATGAGCGTGTGGGTTTACGATCTTGTCAATAATCATGCTCTCCACCCCAACTCGATCACAAGAGTTTGAACAGGATTTGATGCCTGATGCCATAGAAAAGGAATTCACTCAACAATGTGCAATGTCATCTCGGGGCATGTACTGGACTAATAATCCTCCACCCAGCTCAGTGACATGATTACCGAGGTTCCAGCGAAGTCCAGTGCTTGTTGTGGACAGAGACGGAGCGCCCACCGGAAGCAGGCCACAATGAGGGCCCTCAAATGTCTGGTTAATATGAATTTCATTCGTACTCCCAGCAGGCAACAAGGTGAGACTGCTTTCTTCACTCAGAAGCACTATCCTTAGGGAGTTTGCGAACGTCCACAGCACATTGATGTTCCCAGCCTCGTGATCAAATCTCCCACCCAGAGCACCAACCACGAGCACCTTCAGCTGCATGAATTAATGGAGGCATTCGCTCATTAGGAGACGCCACCACACATATATGCATGAAAAAGCTCCAGAAAAATTAGTACAAGCACGACTCGTCACCTGCGAGCACGCGACACGTTGGTTAAGACTGCAGGCTGTTTCACAGCTCAATACAATGCGAGTCGGTGCAATTTAATACTTTGAGAACCCATTCAGTGAGTTGCAGACCAAGCTTTACATTTCGTTATCCATTCCAATCCATGCCCTTACTTGAGTTTTGTCAAGCTCTGGTGTAGACTCTTCAATGTAACGGATAATTTTGTGAAAGTCTGTCGTGTCTTGGTCATGCGCCTCGCCAATGATCCTAGTACCCTGCACCACCACTGCAATGAATAAGTAGATCCTACGAGAGCGGACCTAAATCGAACGGTTCATCAAAAGAAAAGAAAAACAGAAGACAAAACTATCTCTATGAAACGCAAGAAATCGATTGAGGACGTCACTGACCCATTACGATTGCGCGACATCAAGAGGTTTTTAGGGGAAAATCTTTACCAAATTCATGTAGAAATCTCTCACGTCAGCTCGAACAGAATCCAGGTCTCCCTTAATAACATCCGGCTTGAACCTGCAACATCGGAAATGAAAATTGAAATGTACGCAACGAATAGACAAGGCGTGCTCCGGAGGAAGTGAGTTGTAGCAGGATTTCATTGGAAACAAGAAGACACTGACATATTCAGTTATCAAAAGCTTCTCCGCGCCAACATTAAACCACAATTGCATCATATGATTTATCAGAAGCACGTAACATGCCACCCTGGATCGATCCGTGCCCAACATGCGTAAATAGTTAAAAGTGCCAAAACGAGGAACCAGAAAAATCACCTGTTGCGTACAGCTTCGGGTTCTTCACCAGGGAAAAGTCGAGGAAGTTCGTCGTAAAGACGATTAGCTCCGCCATCAGCACACACACGCAATCGCGCTGACACATCGTTTCCATCCACTTACTCATCAGATTCCGTCAGAGTCCTCTGTCATTTTCTGTATGACTCTTCCGAATTGAAATCTATTCGCTCCTTCTTCAATGAATACATCTCCAGAAAGTGATTCAGTATAATTTACAGGTTGACCGACACAATCCATTGGGCACAGAAGAAACGATCCAGGCACTAATTGTCAAGAATGCATCGGCACACAAGAGGACAGCTCCACAAGTATCACACACCTAGAAGTACAAAACAGACATGTCCAAAAGTTTTACAAAAATTAATAAATTAATAATGATAAAGAAAATGAGCTCTTCACCTTGGCTCCAAAGCAGAGGTGTAAATCGAGGCAGACGATAATTCAACACCACCACTGCTGTGGGCGCTTCGGAAATCGAGCGCGCACTTCCAATTCCACGACTTGCATTGATAGTATAATCCGTCACATGCTTCAAAACACTTTCCATGATCGTGGTGGGATTAGCGACAGAGTCTTGCACCCGTGCGTATTCACGAAATGGTACCCGGATGAAGGCCCAGCTGCTTCTAACCAGCCACCCTGATCACCCTGCTACCCAACTCCACCACCCGAATTCCCAACAGGTCAGAAGACAACAACGACGACGACAACAACTCCTTTTCACGTCCCTGAATTTCAGTTCAAACTTAACCCCACACTCCCAAACTCTCATTCCATACTTTTCTGAAAGGCAATATAAATGGAAACAAGCAAATTCCAGGACAATCAGGGATCAGTCTGCAACAAGCGTCGGCCTCATTCATGACACAATCTCATCGGAATCGCGCACCTCGCGCACAATCTCCACGCACGCAGCGACCTTCGTTCCCCTTCGTTGTCAGCTGAGGATGCTCGAATCCAACCCCAGAGCCCCCTCGATCGATCCACCAATCTCGTGCAAATGGTTACACGTACACACACATACACTAACACTCACTCAGGTGCGCACACACTCACTCACAGAGACACGGTGATGGGGGGGGGGGTCCTTCTTAAGTGCGGTGTGGGCCGCGTCGGACTTTGCCCCCCTTTGGACTTTTTGGGGGTGGAAACCTTTGGATTTGGATGGCTATGGGTGGGTTTTCATGCCACATCGACTCATTGTCGGAGAATTCTCCATTTGTTTGTTCGAGGGGAATATGTATGTATGTATGTATGTATGTATGTGGTTACCATATACTATACTAGCACAATTGGACCTTTTAGTTATCAAAGTTTCGAGCTTAATTTGAGAAGTCATGTAGATTTACAGTTGTATTTTGATATTGTTGACTTTTCTTGGCAGGGGAGTTGCCCACATTTTCTCTGGTAATATCAAGAAAGAAGGCACTTGATATGTATATATAATTATATTTATTTATGTATGTGGTGTTCTTATCAATAATTAATCTTCCAAAAATTCATAATCAAAATTTTGGAAACTAACTTTGTTCTATGGTGCATAATTAACAATATTTGATTTCTAATAATCAATTGATTTTCATTGACTTTCATTAATTAGCAAAGGTAGTTAATACACGCCACTTAGTTGGCAGGGTCACATCGCTATACATAATTGACCCAAGCAAGGTCACTTGGCCACCAAGGCAAAAGCAAGCAATTTAGATTGTAGGGCTTTAGCAAGATCGATTTCCATCTTGCCCCTTTAATACACCACCTATGATGATTAATAACCATTGATAATTGATACGTTTTCTTGCAAAAAATAATAGTAATTACATATCATTACATATGTAAAACATTACATATCTATTGTTTTTGTTTGTAGCTTTGTCAACACAGAGAATAAAAATAAATATTACTTATTAGTTGTAGCCATTCATAAAAGAAACCTCATACCTTATATTTGGACATAGAAATTTAAGTGGACATATAAAAATTTATGGTTTCAAAAATACAATTGTGGATTTGAGTACATTAATATACAGTTAGATTACAATAAAACTCACAAACAATAACAAGTTTCAGAAAAATAATGATGCTCACTTCAGATATGTTTATTTAATTAAACGAATTGTGATTTGGAAGTGGAACTGATAGAGGCAGCAGGTCCACAGCTGAGAATTCCTCAACTCTGAAGAAAGCATGAAACTGGGTGCCCAGTAGAAGTGTTGGAGAAGACAGCACAAGACGGAGAATGGAGTGTTGCATCTTGTGGTTTGCAGCACAGGGTGGATAATACAAAGGGAACCTGTACGAGTGAGCCAAAGCACTTCCAGCATTTTCCTGGGCCTGAGTGCATTTACACGTGGAACGAACCCACCATTACCTTTACATTTGAAATTTTTCATAATATGTATGTATATATATATATTCTGCATGAGAATAAATGTTTTTCCTTTCCATATATGATTTGTATTATTTGAAATAGTTGTTTGCTGTTCCAAAAACCATATTTGACATCCACTATTCAACAAAACTTTACACAACTTCAGTAATTGTATCATATATATATATATATATATATATATATAGATTACATTTTTCTGAATAGGCTTGAATGTGTAATAATCTTAATGATAAAAATTTACACAGTTTGTTAAGTTTAGAAGTGAAAAATTCTAAGACTCGGTAAGTTCATAGCAACAACAAAAGTTTTATTATTTAAACTTGTGCAACTTTGTAGATTAAGTCATATATGTATACATCTACTTATTTCTTTAAAATAATTATATAGATTATTTATATTTTTACTTGGGCTAAACTTATTTAGTGTAAGAAAATATTTTTTTTCAATATTTTTAGTCGAGATTGATTTTTAAATTTGATTTTTTTATACCTTATATTTTCATATTCTTAGAATAATATTTTTAGTATTCCATTTTTTCTCGACTTTTAACCTCTCAGAAACATAATTTCATATGCAAAGTTTTCATTATTATAAAAGTTATATTACTATTATTTGAATTGTTTGTTAAAACACAAGTAGATATATTTATTTATTATTTCAATATTTACAAAATTGATTCCTCACTTGTTTCTTTTTGTGAAATTACATATGCATATGTATGTATGGATATATATGTTTAATGAGCATCTCATCTAAATCACAATTTATTTTACAAACACTAAAGATGTTATTGTTCGTTGCTACTAGCTTAATTATTAAAGACTAAGTGTGAGATTCCATCTATGTTTAAGGTCTTATAATAACATCATGTCATCTTGTAGCCCAACCATATGTAAAAGTTTCACTTTTTGACCACTTAACAAAAGTATACTAAATAAAAATTGTGCTTCTGTGAAGATTTGGCATCCTTTAAGGAATTGTTGGCCTCTTTGATAATGTGAAATCCTCCATAGATACTCTCAAATGAAGTAATTTTTTACATTTATGATTTTAGATGGATCCACGGTATAAAGTTTTATGCCTTTTATTATTATTATTATTATTACAATTACTATAATTAGCATGCCATAAATCTAAACTGTCAATGTGTGGCCTCTATTGGTTGTGTTGATGCTGAGTTACTTCTTTAAAAACATATGATAAAGAATAAAATGAATTTAGTGAAACACCTCTCTATATGCGAAAAAATATGAAAATACATACATACATACATACATTCATTCATTCATTCATTCATTCATAAAATAAAATAAAATATGACATGAATATTATAATATACAGAAAATGGATGACTTCATCCATGGATGGTCCTTCGTCGACGGTCACAGGGACACCATTCCCCGGTGATGAGGGGCGATGCGTCGAGAAGTCGAGGGTGTGAAACCGTGGTAAGCGGGGGGCGGGGGCAAGGCTTAAGCAGATCGCCATAGCTCTCTATCCTCGCCAGGTCGAGGTTCCATTGCTGTTGCTGCTGCTGCTGCCGCGCTGTGGAGATCGATCCATAGGTTTTCTGTTCTTAGCACTACGTCCGCCCGAGCGTGATCGGTGCTGCCTGCGTTGTCGCCACGATGGTACGCTGCGGTTGCATTTTTCATTCTGGATTTTGGAGTTGTGCGTTGCCTTAATTCAGATTTGTTTGGGCTAGTGAGGGCTTTTTTGCCAAATGCGGATGCCTGGCGGGTGGATTCGTTAGGTTTGAATGGAATTCTTATGAACAGGAAGGTTTACGGATATGTTTTCATCACGTTTTGTTTTGTCTGCAATCGTTTCTTGGGATTTTCTTGTCCTTCTTTCTATTGCTAGCACCGTGAATTTCGATGGATTCTGCAGGTTTAGGTATCCCTTGTTGGTGTGCGGTGAGAGATGTTTGAAGCTGTTGATTATGGAATAATAGTTAATTAGATGCGACAGGGCGTTAGGGTTGTGTCTCTGCACCTCTCTGTATGGTTGTGTGGTAACTTACTACTCGGTGGAGAGTCTGACAAAGTAGCTATATGCGTTAAAAAATCTAAAAAATAAGAAAAAGAAAAGAAAAAAGCAAAAGCAAAAACAAAAACAAAAAACAAAAAAATCGTTTGTTAGAAGTTTCGGACAGGGATTTTGATACTGCAACATTATTGAAAGTGAAGTCATTGAGATTCATTTTAACTAGCTGTATTATTCTCTTCCTCCTGTCGACATATGTAGAAGTGTTTAACATGGTATGTCTTGCAGATTCATTTCGTATTGCTGATCAGTCGGCAGGGCAAAGTAAGGCTGACGAAATGGTACTCACCTTATACTCAGAAGGAGCGTACCAAGGTATGTATTCGTGTGCTATGCAACTTATTATGTAGTAGTTGGCCAAATCGTTTGAGGCATTACAGGAATTATGAGATAGATAATTTTTATTTTACATCATTTTTAATATCTAATGCCCGCCAGCTGAGGACCTAGTGGTGAATTTCTGTTTGTCAATAGATGACCCTTAAGAAGTATTCTAGGAAATCGACCATTGGCAGATATAGTGTCTGTACAGTAATTTTCCAAATATTGTACTTCATCCTGTCGCTGGCTGCATTGAATTGCAGCTCATGTTGTGATAAAAGTCTTGGAGTTTTCTTGCCTTAATGCTTTTGAGCGTTGGAAAATATGCGCTAATTGGAAGGGCATGTTGTTGCAGGTTATTCGTGAGCTAAGTGGTATGATCCTTTCTCGTGGCCCAAAATTGTGCAACTTTCTTGAATGGAGAGGTCTCAAAGTCGTCTATAAGCGGTAACTAATCCCATCTTCCTGGAGCCTTCATCAACTATTTTCCTTGCCTGCTTTGAAATATGTGTGTACTTGCCGTGTGAATACTGCGCTTTTAACTAAATTATGAAGTCCACAAATTCTCCCCGTGCATTTAGCATGCGATGTCTCGCAGTGGTATGTATTTGTATTATATAAGGTGCTCATAAGATTTCAAATTGCCTATTCTGTACTGAATTGTCCAATGTCATCAGTTCATGGAATACTTACGGGTCAATTGATTACCATATCACGTTTGAGTGGACAGGTATGCGAGTTTGTACTTCTGCATGTGCGTGGACACAGACGATAACGAGCTGGAAACTTTAGAGATCATCCACCACTTTGTTGAAATTCTTGATCGCTACTTTGGCAATGTAAGTCTTTGAGGATCTCGAAGAAGGTTTGTTTATCGATTTGCTGGCCTAAGCCGTAGTATTGAGCTGGGCATCCTTGCAGCGCAAACTGTATGTGATTCTTTGTCTGTTAAATTGATTCAACAATAACTAGCTCAAGTTACTATGCGAGTTACCGGCTTTTAGGAAGTTTCAGGACTGCCCGTATGTCTTCACTTGCTGATCTCAATGCATTTTTACCTTGCAGGTTTGCGAGTTGGATCTCATCTTCAATTTCCACAAGGTTTACTCTACCTCAACAACAATGAAACTAGGGAGTAGTATTTTTTTTAAAAAAAACGATCGTAGTCTATAGTAGAGCAAGATTGTCAATGTCAGTGATTTTTTACGAACTTTGTTTAGATCTTAAAATTTCGCTTGGTTAAATTACACTGCACCTTAAAAACAAGATGAGAATCTCAGTTCTGAATGTAATTGATTCGTAATTTAGGAAGCCGCCACCCTAGTAACTTGCTTTTCGCATGCAGGCATACTACATACTAGATGAAGTACTCATTGCTGGAGAGCTTCAAGAAACAAGTAAAAAATCAGTGGCTCGTGTGATTGCTGCCCAGGTATGCTTTCCTTCACTATTGTTCTTTACTACAGATGAGCTCTTTATTTCGTCCCGTGAAATTCTAGCATTCACATTTGGGACCGCATCAAGTAGCCTATATTCTCGTTGCTCCTGAGTACTTGCTATTTGTTTTTTTATTGTCAAGAACTTATACGAATGTTCCTGGGCTGTTGGGCGGAAAATTTATATTTGGTTGGATTACTTTGCAGGACACATTGATTGAGCATGCGAAGGAGCAATCAAGTTCTTTATCCAACATCATTGCTCAAGCCACCAAGTAGTACGCACGTAGGGCTCTCGTGTTGTGCTGGTCGAGGTGTAAGATATTATATTTTCTGATTTGTAGACAAAATCCTAATTTAGAAGCTCTGGTCTAGTATTACTTCGTAATTTTTAAGGTCCAACTTCTGCATTGTTGCTTGGGAATGACGATTCTGCAATTGTAACGAGGTTGTGAAAGGTTCCCATCTTTGCCTTGATGGTTGAGGCTTTGGGCTGTATAGATCAGATGTGGAGTGTTTTTAGGAAGCTTCTGAGGTATATCTCTATATATGTGGATTTCTGAATATGCAACGAAGGCAGTGGATTGTACTTGACACGATAAATATATAATTCGAATAGGTCATTCTTCTATATATTCTATGAGTATGACTGAAGTCATTGCAACATATTTTGTTGTATACCTTGATGGAAACAATGCAAAGAAGAGCATTAAATTTCCGCTAATGCTGACATTGAGAACTAGGGCACGCGCGCAATTGCCGCCTCCATATGAAAGTGGCAACTGGCACGGAGCCACCAGTTCAATGTCTCATCAATTATGATCGACAACTTCAACGATTGACAGTGGTGGCCCATGTGGGTGCGAATGGATCGCTCGTATGATAACACCTAGAAGCCATAATACCACTACAGATTTAGAAGCACAAGTAGTTGTTTCACAATCCTCCACTCTTCTTATACCGTACAGTCGAATATCCAAAAACTGTTCCTTGTTGCCACAACTCAAGTGCCTGGAGTGGACTCTTTTAGGGCGGGGTGAATGATGATTCCTCCCTGTGAGTCTTGTACGCTTGGATCAGTTGGCCAGTTATACCATAGGTGTGATCCAGTAGAGGCATCAATAAATCTGCAAGTTATCAAGCAACCTCTACCGTCAGTAAAACAATTATTTAACTAGGATCTACGCATCAGGTGGATAGAACGAATGAACCTTGAGTCGTTAGAGGATCCTCTGGGATCGAAAACTTCTTCGGAAGAGAAACAGATTGCTTGACCAACCTAATGTTTTCAAGGTGTGAACCAAATCCCAAAAGGAATAACTTCATACCAAGTTCAAAATTGAGGATACATGCGTAGAAGGGAGTAGACACCACTGACCTTCAGCAGCAGCTGCACGGAGCCCTTGAAACTTTATCCACAGATTCAAAGCTTCCCTTCCACGGTGAGCAAGGGCCTGAACTTCCTTCAACATTCCTGTGAAATCTCTGCTCTTATTACGGTGCAAGATCCCATCCTTTCTGATCCCACCAAGGGCCTCGCTCTCTAATTCCATGATTTGGCACAGTAAGGCTTCCCTAAACAAGACCCCCAGCTGAAGGCAAGATGTCTGAATATTTACTACTGATTGCGACCCACTTTCCTGTGCTGCTCGTCTATCAATCAAGACTGAGACAGTTCCTCCTCCCTGCGACACCAGCCTCAACCTCGTCCGTTCCTGTGATACGATACCATCAACGGAAGTTAATCTACTGCAACATGTCCGCAATAATGCATCCAACACTATCTAAACAACAGGGCTGTGAACTTAAATTGAGAAACTTAGGGATGGCCAGTAAGAAAACGCTCTGCTGCTTAATTGAGAAGATGAGAAGAGTAGGTACCGAGGCTGCGGAAGGCTGCTGTAGAACATGGCTGAGGAAGACCTTTTGCCAATCAACGGCGCTATTGATGGTTCTGCTGGTAGTTATGCCATCAAGACGGGAACTCCAAGCCACATCACCAGAAAATGACCCTAGCATCTCTAGGTCCGCCAAGTCCAACATTTCGATCTCTCTCGTGCCTGGCATCAACTGGCAACATCAGCAAAACGGCAAAGAAGCCAACCCATGGAAAATGCATCCATGCCAAGTACTCACAATGAGGTACCATAAACCTCACTGTATCAATGGAAACAATATAGGCAGTAGCATGTGATCTATACCAAAGAAACGCGTCGAATGTAATAGGAGCTTACAATCTTCGCCACAGAAATCTCACTCCATTTGCGGGATTATTACCCTTGAAAGTTCATACCTGCTAAGGAAGGCATCCTTGTCCTCAAATTACCACTTCCGCGAAGTGTAGGTGTCCATGAAGTGTGGCCCAGGGTTGATTGTTGAGTCTGAAGCAAAGAGAAGAGATCAACCTGCTGACGTAAAAGAACAACACAAGCCGCATTTGATACTCTTTCAAGCTTATGCCCATTTCTCCCTCTATCAGAACTTCTGAAATTCTGTAATAAAGCCTTATGGGAGTCGTGAATGTGGCAGAGGTATACAGTAGCCATGACTGGACCCCATGGACCACCAGGAAGATTTACATGGATCCTATGTTCCCATTGAGAACCAACGGGTAAGCCATGGCCATTGTTTATAGTGAAGGAGCACTGAAAAGTTGGATTGACAGTTGAAAGACAACTTTGCAGCTCCAGAATCAAAGACCAGTATTGAGAAAGAGGATTTCTAGTACGATTTATCAAGGTAATGTCAAGTCGTGTTTTAAAACTATGATACATGTTTTTAGCTGCAAACCTGGAGGGTTTCCTCAAGCTACCAGATCCAATACCTCCAAAACTTAACTGGTCACCTACAAGAGAATTTGACGGAGCAGGAGTAGCAGTTAGTGTACAACTTAGCCCTGCGTTGGCTGGTGCAGATTCCTCATTGCTCGTTAGGATATTGTTTCGGATGCCGGACTTGAAGCCAAGATTTTTCTTATCAGTGGCAATATCACGTGCCCTAGGCAAGGCAAGGGCCAGTTCATTCATTGCAAGGACCAAAGCTTGTTCATGACTTTGTATGACATCCCTGCAAGATTCAGCATCTGCTATTGACTGCAGTAGTTCCTGCAATCAGAAAAAAAGAAAAGAAAAGAAAAGAAAAGAAAAGACCCGGTTAGTTTGAAAGATCGCTCCCACGAATTCTAGGAACTTAGATGTAATCTCAGTCGAAGCTCTGCTTGACAGCATGCCAGCACTACAGGCAGATGCAGGGAGGGTTGGAAAGCTCTGAGACTATTTCAAAGAAGTCGCCCGAAGTTTACAAACACTCACTTCCACAGACTTCCCAGAACAAGCGTTTGGAGCATTCTGATGCGTGTCGGCTCCAGGATTAATAGCCGAAACTGGTGACGTAATCTGCTTGAATACTTTGATACTCAACAGGCTGCCAGCTCTGGTCAAAACGACTAGTGGATGGCTCCCTTTGTAAGTAAATAGACCTGGTCCACCAATGTTAACAATGTTGGAGGCAGGAACTCGCTGAGAAGGTAGTATCGATATGCTAGATGAGCTGCTCCTTGGATCCTGGACTGCATCGCCCATCCCACCACCACCTTTCATAAAAGATCCAAGATTATCTGTGATGAAAACCGTTGAGCCAGCATTGAAGCATAGACGGGCTCCGTCCACCAGACAAGCAGATGTGATTGGTCCACTCACAATGCCCTCTGTACTAACGAGCGTCATTAGAGTACTCGAAGGACGACACTTGCTCTCATCCCCAACAGGAGTGTGCGTATGACGTGCAAGGAAGGGGAAATCATCTAGTTCCTCTAATGTAGTTTGATCCTTCACAGAAGAAAGAAAAGCAACCTGCCCCAACAGTCCTACCACAATGAGGCAATTTGGCCCAGAGGCTTCGTTACATTCTTGAGTTGTTGAGATTCGGCTACAACGGCCCCTAGTAGTAGGAGGAGGATAATCCACAGGGATTATTGCCACTAATGGCTGGTGGAAATCAAAGACTACATGTGGAGAAGGAACAGCTGATTTTCCTTCCTGCAGATGAAAGGTGTAGACTTTGCCATCCATACCTCCTGCACACCAATTTCACCACAAACAGTTACAAATATACACGCGCCTCAGTAAACTTTCCATTACGTTGGATGCAATCATGCACACGCTTCTCATGAAAATATCGATGGGATCAGGCATTATGCAATTAAAAAGCACCTAACATGGAATTTGCCCTGATCTCAAATCGTTCGATAATGGCACAGTAAGGAGGAGGAAAAAGATTACATGATGATTTGCAAGCACATTGCAATTATATTCGATGACGTGATAACAACAATTCTAAATGTAACTTTGGCACAAAGGGTTGCAAGTAGAAGAAGCAAACCAGAAGATTGACGGAAACGCCAGCACTCAACCAACCTTGAATAAGTAAGCTTTTACAGTCCGATATGCCGGCACTTGGATCTAAGAGAGATTCAAGGAGGTCTTGAGATATGACGGCCTGGCCTTCTCGAGGTCCGCTGGTCTGGCTATGCCGCACAGATGTCACGACGAGCAGACATGTTGGCTCTCCTCTAAAGACTGGAGCACAGCTTCGAAAATCTGGACCCTCTGAATGACCTAGAATGCTGGTTGCAGCGAGCCTGTTGAAATGCAGCAGCTCAGGAGATCCAGCTTGTGAAGCAATTGCTACCTGATGAGAATAGGCAGAAAACATGGATTAACATAGCTGTCTGCACCCCTTTTTGATATGCTACGCATTACGAGGAAAATTCATGTACTGAAGCAAAGGCATCTGCTGCTCATAAGTCACACTCAAAGGACTACAACCGTGCTATTAAGAACGCCTTATCAGCCTATTCTGCAGACTAGAAACTCGGATAAAAAATAAATAATAAATAATAAACAACAACAACAACAACAACAACAACAACACGTATAAAAAAATTAAAAAATTAAAAAATTAAAAACAAAAACAAAAACTAAGAACAATACCTACATAGCCGTTGGGACCAAACGCAGCAACTGTTGCACCAGGAATTGTTCCTAGCAATGTGTCGACCACTGACACGTTCTTCACCTCATTAGCTCTTGCTGCTGCTGTGTACGTTTCTACAGCCACCTCCTTCCAACATGTTAAAAAGGGTGATTTCGCAATCGCATCACCAGGAGGGCCCTGACGCTGGGATTGCACAGGTGGAGCTGCAGATGTAGCCCTGGCAATGGTAGTTTTAGCAAGAGCTGGTTTGATTCGCTGAATCTCGCCCACATTCTGGGTCTTCTGCCTCTTAGAAAGCCTGGGATACAAAATACCGAATAAAAATTTAAGACCTACAAATCTTTCAGATCTTCAAATCTAATGCCTCACTTATAGAGTAACTGAGATGTGGAGGAAATAGCAAACTCTCAGCGGTATACATTAGGTATTGAAAAAACCTTCTTGTGCTGTTGCTTGTCTTCCAAAGTTGGACAGCCCAAATGCAACCATCTCGTGTGATGACCACCAGACGAGCATTGCATTCAGTACGTCCACCTTCGCCTTCTAGGCGTGATCCTGACCCGATCAACAGGAACACTGGATCTGCTGGAAACCTCCATATTTCCTACCGTTGGCATCCAACATCTATAGTCAGCAAAAACCCTTCAGGACGACTACTGCAAAATATGCTTAAACTTGAAGAACGAGGGCCAGATGGAGAAAGCCTTCATTTCAAACAGTACGATATAAACCTAGTTTATTAAAGAGCGTCGCATGCAAAACAAATACGGTTCGTGTAGTGTGATCAACAGGTGATTGGGGCATGTGACGTCAAATTCTTCTTTCTAGTAAAATAATGATAACTGTAAACCCACTTCGCGGCTACATCGGGCTAATTTAGAGGCAAGACGATAGTAGTACGAAAGGACATCAAACTTGGGTCAAGACAGGGAAGAGGGACACGACAAGAAAGTGGCAGAGGACACATGATACCTGGAGTTGAGTATCGCAAAAAATATGAACCAAGCAAGGCTGAGCTCTGCACGCAGCCCACAACAGGGGTGTGGCTCCGGACGCAGCGACACTCAGGAGTGGCTTTCCCACCACTCTCAACTGCTCCCATTTCAGCGGGCTCCACTCCGCTGTCTCCTCCATCTACTACTTCACTTTCGCCGACATCCGATTACTCCTCAAATTTCATACGCCATGCAGACTTCGGTGGCAATGTCGAAACGAAACTACCAATAATTACGACGGCTCACACGACGTAGGGTTTTCAACTACCGAACCCGCCGCTGAGGATGGTGATTGCGACTGGAGCCTTCTCGTGATTGTTGAATCTCCAAAAACCCTTCTAAAACCTTCACAAACTAGAGACCAGAGGTATGTCTCAGGCCGACGGTGTAGCCCTAATTGTCCAAGGATCTAAAAAGTGCACGATTCGCAGTCGAATGAGACCCATAACCCTCAACCTTGGAGCTGCCAGACCCTGCCAATGCCTTTCTCTCTGAATGATCACAACTGATGAGCAGGAGGGATCTTGGACACAGTAATGGCAGTATACCAACTTCATGTATTAGCGGCCAAATACCACATTGGCGACAGAGGGGCTTTGAAATAAATAGCAACTGCGGCACACCACTGTGAGGAAGAAGTTGGTGTAAGCACAGATTCGGTGCCAGGGAATGCTACCTTCCTGATTGCACAATGTGGCGTCAGAAACAACATTCGCTTTAGTCTGGTCAAAACCCCTCACGTGAAACCATACAATACGGCCACATGCAAGCGCAACAGCAAATGTTTTTGTCACAGTGGACACACAACGATATGGACAAATAGCCTCCACATTGACCACAAGAAAACCAAAATAAACTGGTCCGAGAACTTGGGTCCGTAAATAGCATGTTTCAAACTTAAGATTCAATCAGGTTCACGGCGTACTCACATCACGTTCACAAACGATGCACAGGATGGCGGCGGGAAGAAGCACAGTTCTGTTCTGTCAATCCAATGCGCCATATCAAACATTCAAATGCAACAATTATTGCACAGTAAACGTGCATTGGGGATGGTGGTCACCCATGGCTAAAAAAAATGTGGACATGCCCCTGGACACGAAGTTTACTTCTTCGAGAATCCCGACCTTCAAGCTGCGTGTACTAGAGCATGGAGGAACACCAGCCACGCACATTGCAAGGTAATAATAATTGACGAGGAGGAGACGTTGGATCGGCGCTGAGTCATGGCAATTTTTTTTCATCAGCATTCAGCTGCCAAGATACAAACAACAAAGCTGTGATGCACACGCATACGTTAGCTAGTGGCGGCACCTCTTCGCTCAGTAGGCTCGTGATTCAAAATCTTCTCCATGAAAAACTCAAGTTCAGACAACGAGTCTGCGGAGAAACACTTGCTCTCATAGTCTCACCAGGAATCCATAGGTGCTTTTGTGGATCAAAAGTTAGGACATTTTGTGCTGATAGCTTTGCAATTGAATTGGTACAAAATCAGTGCACACCCATGTGCAGCTCGTATCCACTGCACAACATGGTCATTTGTCGCAGTCCAAGTAAAATACTGCCCAGGATTTCCACAGAACATGTATATGCATTTCATTCATTCATGTATGTGTGTGGGTATACAATAAATTTGACTTTTAAAATAATGTATTTTTTTTTTTCACTGTCTCCGGTTCAGGTTGATGATAAAGTCAAATGTAAAGTTGAGTATCAATCCTTGTATGCATGCAAAAATATCGATTGGAGTAATTGATGCATTGAAAGAGTCAAAACACAAGTGAATAAATATAAGAGATATCATTCAATTAATCCACATACGTCTCGTTTAGAAAAGACAGAAGCGCCACATAGAATTCAAGGCATCAGGATTTTGTTCTTCAGATTATATGCTATTTTGATTAGAAATCAATTTATAGCACAACTATTGAAAGAACTTCTTAAATTGTCGCATCCTTCAATTATCACCACAAGAATATCAAACAAAATTGAACTTGAATCCTCTAAAACGTCAAGTTTTACTACATTTGTACAGTCCTCGACTATGCCTAAAAAGGGCCACAGATCCTCAGGTGTTGCTTCCCCAAGTCTACCGACAGCCCAAGCGAGGAAGGGCGGCCAGGAGTCCTCACAGGTGGTCGGAGGAATCACAGGTTCCGACGCTCTGAAACCCAGACACTTTGCACACTTCACACTCGTTTGCGAGATTCGACGCTTGGAGCTCCCCTCGCAGTAATCGAACCTCCTACTGCAAAGCACAACGCGCTATTCCGTCACAGTGGTGAACTCGATGGGACATGGGCCCTGTACAGGTGACAAACAAAAGTACAGTACATGAACTGAGAGAAAAAAAGCAGCACACCCCTCCTCCAGACAAGAGACACAGGAGTACAAAGCGTGGTCCTACGCAGAACGAGGAACGATCCAGCTAGAATCAAAATAGGGTGATCGAGTGAACCAGTAGCTGGGCCTTGGGAAAGAACAGTTCCGGAAGGGGGCCACAGACTATCCTCGAACGGCACGCTGGAAAAATACACAGCTGAAACTGTGGCACGACAATTCTAACGCACCGAAAGCAACGGCACTGGTGGAGATCACGGAATGCGTCTTTCGAACGTGGAAAATTCGAGGCCAGATCTTCTGGGCCCACTTGCGCCAATTGGACGACACCTCGAAGGCGATCAGAAACCCGGTTCTGAAAACTTGCCTCGATTTCGCGCCTTCACAGCGTTATCACGAAACCCACTCCACCGAGACGACATTTGAGTACTTGGGCCACACGCGAAAACATTGTTCTCACAAGTGTCTTCCCTGCAAAAAAAAAAAAAAAAAAAAAAAAAAAAAACTTCAATTAGGACATGAAAATCCACCGAGTTTTTCATGGGTTTTTTCCGCGAGAAGTGGCGTTGCGAGCCGCGGAGAGTCGAAGGCGATGGAGAATCGAAATCCACACATTCGGGTGCGAAAATCGAGATTGCACAGCCGCGCACTCCCGGCGTGCGCATCCCAAGAGGCCCTTTCCCAGCATTCCAGAGCTCCTCCAATGATCTCATCCATCCACATGTCTTCATCCCCTGAAGCTGACCCCCCGGGCAGCCCTCTCCCCTCAAACTATAACGGTCTCCCAATAAACGACCGCAGGTTAAGGCTCCTGTCCCCCATTCCCGCCCCGCCACGTATAATCGGGTCCCATAAGCGCTGACCTAGTCAGAGGGCCTCGGATGACGTGGCGTTCTCGAGGATTGTGTTTGCCTTGCTGGCACTATTCATCCTGCCACCTCATTCATTTGTGTAAAGTTTTGATTCAATCGAATATTTATCTCCTCCCCTTCTTCCTGAACTCTTCATTTTATTTTATTTTTTTGTTTCTTTGGAAGTTTATCTATAAAATCTTTAAACGTCTGAAATTATTAGAGGGTTCTATCTTCTTTGAAATTGCTCAAATTTAGTCCAAATTCGTATTCTCTAATCATTTAGTTCTTGTGTAGGTGTTCATAGGTCGCTTCCTTGTGAAGTACAAAACGTTTATGATATTTTTGAAAAAATTGACATTTTGTAGGGCAATGCAAACTTTTTGCCTGAAGTCACACTCCTTTAATGTTCCATAAATCCTCACAACTCCTTTTATATATATTTTCTGTGTCTTTTTAATACTTTATAAATATATTTCTGAGGGTATATATAACTATAAGTACCAAAAAGGCACAGAAAACTAGTGAGTCATACTGTATATGGAAGAAAGACCGTGAACATGCAAATATCCTGGTCCTTCCTGACCACAGAAATTGCACAAAGAGAATTAACTTACTCCTTTCCTCCCAAGATTAGTCATTCCTCACTGGAAAACAAACACTAATACTTCTCCATGGATACCAACTTCTCTGTCCCATTCCCTTCCTTCGTTATCTCCTTACAAACCCCATAAATCTTCCATTAGACTTTTGACACCAACTAACAAGTTTTACAATTATCCTACACAATCCAAAATATAACCCAGCACAGCATGTTTGTAGGTGGGAGTTATCTAAATAAGCGTGATGAATGACCTCTTCCAGAAAACTGCCTTTATTACATGCTAAAATGCATGCGCGGTCGAAGACCATGGCCGATGACGCGCCTAAGACGTTAACTGCCGCGGACGCGCGTCGACGGCTTTCTGGAAGGCAACGAATAGTGGAGGAGTGTCCACTGATGCGCGGCAGTTTGTGGTCGCGTCCCGGCCTTGGGCTATGGCTATGGCGACCGTGCTGATGGGGTGGATTGCACGAGCACGGGGCCAGGAGGGCTCCGCTGCCGCGGCCGGCTCCCGCTAGTTGATTTCTTCGTGGCTTATGCTCAAACCTCTCGAATCCTCTCTCATTTCTTCGTTGCAGGGCCACTTTCGGTGATCGGCCAGTATTCCTGCCCACCTGGCTCTCTCTCTATGGACACATCACAGCTTCCGTCATCGTCACCACTGTGCAAAGCGCATTTGATCTTTTGAGTCCCCCTATGCTCAACTCATTCAATGCTAATTCACGTGCGCAGCATTACTAAGCTGGCTTCGGATGCACGAACGGGAAGGACTGGAGCAGATAATCGGATCTGCTGCGCACTAATTTGAAAGTCGGAATTCGTCTATTGCATCACGAGATTAGGACTGGCGGATTCCAATCGTCCAGGGGGGGGGGTGGATTCTGCAACTATTGAGACGATGGTCGAGAATTAGCCTGTGTTTAACTTTGACGTGACCTGCATTCCTGGAGGTACAGTCGGAAGGAACCTGCAATCGGAGGATTCCTTTTTTTCGACGACTGGTCTTTGCTCGACTACTGGTACTCTTCTGGTAATCCCTAGGTAATCCAGCTAGAGGAGTGATTCTTTTCCAGCTGGGCTCAGCAGGAGCCTCATCTTTGCTAGAAGGTTCACACCCACCCAGGGGAAGTTCAGTGGCACGAAACAAATCCTCGACGTCCTCGACTTGGTGGTTTTTGAGTCCCGTCTTCGCACTCTTGTCCTCATTGGAGTGCCACTGACGAACTGGGTCGAACGGGTACTTCCTCATCTGCCATCTTTCGTGGCCCTTGTGCCATATTTATTGCCAATCGTAAGCGTGCCTGGTGCATTGGGCGCACACCTAGTTATCGGTAGGATATAGATGACTCCTATGATTGGTAGTGGGAATTTAAGCAGGTTTCTGTTGCGCAAATGCCTCTTGCTCGCGGTTGATTTTCTTCTGTTGGAGTTCAGGTATCGTCAAGAAATTTTACTCAATACAGGTATCGCTGGAGGCGAACAAGTTGCACAGTGTCAATTTGTGTAAGAGCAGGCCTCCTTCTCTGAGTGAGCTTCTTTGAGAGCGATAAAGCCGATGTTTGCATTGCCGAGAGCTTCTATCTCTGCAGTGTCGGTGCCTGCATAAATCTCCGTTTAAGGCTCACCCGCTCTCTACCAGTTTGATGCCTATCTGGGTCAGTTTATATAGTGTTTGGATGCGAGAAGGTATTCGCGAGCACAAGTAACATCAGTTGAATTCACCAGATTTAAAAATCAAAGGTTTCTAATGGAGGTTTGGATTAGTAGAAAATTTGAGTGGTGCTCGATGTTGTATAATAGACCATCCCCGGTACCTCTTCTTGCGAGCACTAGTACTGTAGCAGCATTGGAACGATTACCGCTCACAAATCTGGGCACATCAACCGATCATCTGGATTATGACGTAACGCTAATTGTCGTGGTTATTGCAGGAAAAATAGTTCTGTTCGATAGCTTCGTGTGGGTCCACTTCGGCTTGGAGCGTCGCTTTTTTGCTAATACGGAATCGTTTTTCGGTTAGATTGAAGGTGTCAGAAATTGTGGCGCTCAACTCTCGAAGCACTTCGGTTCAGCATTCTTGACGGAGGAGTCAGGGACTTGAAGACTTTACTCCACGTAGAAATAGGGCTAAGGAACACATGTGGAATAAACAATAAACGCTGCGACTAAATTGTTTATCAGTGAACCCTCCTTGACAATCTTTTCTCCTGCGGTCAAGCTTGTAAACCATGGAAAAACCTGTAGAAGGGCGAAGAAACAGTAGTGTACAATCAAATCATCTGCAGCAGGTAGAGCAGTGAGGTCGTAGAAACCCATCTGTCGTCAACGCATATTTGCAGAGCAATCTGAGCAGTGAAATATGAGCTGGCTGGAGAGATCATTCGGTTACCCGGATTGCCGTCAGCATAGCGATAGTGTGTATTATGGATACCCTAGAAATAGTGTGGGTCCCCAGGAGCTGTCGAGCTTTTCGCCAAGCGGCTCAAGGTGGTGGGAAAGGGGGCAAGTAGAGCTAGACTTTGGCAGTTCCCGGCCGTGGCGAGATTCTTCCATCTTCGAGGTAATAACTTTGTAAAGCAATGGATGGCCAGCAGTCCATGTTAATTCAATCAACTCTGTGGCAATCTTGTTACTTAAACAAACCCTACTGACCTGTCCGTAAACGTGCAAACTTTCATCAGGATCCGTATGCCGTCGATGTATATCAGGACATGTACCCAAACTGGGGCATGAGCCACCCCTACCGAGAGGGCGGGTACTTGTACGAGGATGAAGGTTACTTACGCGATACCAGCCGATACATTAGTCAACACATTGGAACGACCGAGTTTTGCAATTCTGAGAGTGACAGATTCCGAGAATTTGGCCATGGCAGGGTGGCGTATGAGCCCCCAGCAGCTTATGATGACAGTAAGCAGCCGCCGCCGTTATTTCATTTTTTCGGCAACACTAGTGCTGATCTTTGATGGCCATCCTTGTGCTGTCTCCTAGAACAGACTTGATTTTCAATATCGATAGTTGGAGAACCGTGAGCTAGGGAACTGAATCAGTGTCTGCATTTGAAGTCTGGCACTGACACCAACGAGTTTGATATCGTAGGAAAGTACTGGACATTCAATTACGAGGAGGATTATGACGCGAGGAGTGAGGCCTTAGCAAGGGCCATGCAAGAAAGCTTAATCCTTGAACGGAATCCAGCTTCACATGGTACCCCTACTGATGCGCGTTCTCCGCATTCGGTTCCGGCTCCAGCAAAAGAGTATGAGTTTACTTTCCAATCGCCTGAACTCATAATGCTTCCTCCAGCAGTGACGATTGCATGTTGAAGCATTGGAGGGAGCCTTGAAATGGACAGGCTCACAAAACGTTGGATGTGGAAATTGTTTCCTAGGCTGACAGTTAACGAGTGCTTCGCGCAGGTCTGGAGGAATGCCGACATGTGCTGGTTGTCATCGCACGCTTGGGTCCGGAAAGTTTTTGACTTGTCTCAACCAGGATTGGCATCCGTCTTGCTTTTGCTGCCTGTACTGCCTCCAGCCGATCGTAGATCAGGAGGTACTGAGCACTGCGTTCTAGAATGATATCGTTCAAATTCCGTATTTTTGTCACATTCCAACTTTGATATCCCTCGATCGGTAGATAAGGAGATATATTATCATTTAACCAAAGGTGTGCAAATGGAATTATGCAGTTCTCTGTGCAAGAGAGTGACCCCTATCATCGAGTCTGTTACAAGAAGCTCTTCCATCCCAAGTGCGAGATCTGCTACAATTATGTATGTTTCCCTCACCTTGGGCAACTTCTCTCTTTTGTATGGATGTTGTTTGATGCTCATGTTTGATTAAACACTTATTATGGTGACCCCAAAAAAGCCTTTATGTGTATGGACTGTACGGTAGCAGTGAGCAGCTCATCTCAACGATACGGGAATCCTAATGGAGCTTTGCAAACAGATTCAGGCAAACGCTCAAGGGCAAATAGAGTATCGGTCCCACCCTTTCTGGAACCAGAAGTATTGTCCATCGCATGAAAGAGACGGAAGTCGATGCTGCTGCAGTTGTGATCGCATCGAGGTACGTTGAAAAGAATCGTTCAGTTCTTGCTGTTCGCTTTCCGTCTTAGATGTTGGGTTCAGACTCTATTCTACTTGTACTTATCCTTCACAGTGAACTTTCCGGAGTTGCTATTTAAATTGTCCCTTCCATGAGAATTTATATGATGCCAAATGTGCAGCCAGTAGATCAACGATACCAAAGCTTGCCAGATGGTAGGAGAGTGTGTTCAGAATGCCTGGAGTCCGCAATGATGGCCACCAAGGACTGCCAGCCTCTCTACCGCGACATTATAAGATTCTACAGCGACATGGGCATGCGAATCGAACAAGAAATTCCTATGCTTTTGGTGGAACGGGAGGCTCTCAACCATGCTCGTGAAAGCGAGGAGGGAGTGAGTACCCCTGCTCTCAGTGCAAATATGCGTGACGTGGGCCAGTTTCTTATCTCCTGCAATTCCCTGTGAGCTGTGTTTTTGGGGTTTAGACTGGCGGCAGCTGACTCACAGGGTATAACATTCTACTTGTCACGATTGCAGGGACACAGTCACGAACCAGAGACTCGAGGCTTGTGCTTGTCGGAAGAACAAACCTTTCCTGTAAGACAACGAAAATCCTTCTTCGAATTGAATCTGCAGCATTCACTGCAGTTCATGTTTTAGAGAAAGAAACCCCCAATTATATTTATATATATATATATATATATATGTCTTATTGGTAATCCTGAATGAATGGAGTTCTATTTTATAAGGTTTTGGGACGTCATGGGGAAATGAGGCAACAAACACGACATTCCGAAGTTACGGCTATCCTTGTTCTTTGTGGGTTACCTAGGTATGCTCTCACCCTCACTCGTAACTGAATTTCAAGGCAAATCTCTACTGCATGGTAAATACTTGGCTCCAGAGAGGGTAAACACTAGACGTAGCTTCCTCCTACGGAACCACACTCTCATTCCAAACGAGCTTATTTTGGGGCTGTGCATCCAAATCGTGAACCTGGGTGTGCAGGTTGTTGACAGGGTCTATCCTAGCTCACGAACTGATGCACGCATGGATTCGTCTTGACGGTGAGCATACTTTTACATGAATTTTACAACAGCCACAAGGGTTTGTTGCAATTAGTCGGGGATAGTGAGAAATCACCAACTAGAGAGGACTTTTGGAATTCATTTTGGACGGTATGTTTCGTACATGCAGGAAGATTTCCGAATTTGGATAATGTCATAGAGGAGGGTATATGCCAAGTGATTGCTCACATGTGGTTAAGCTCGGAGCTTGAGAGCCTCACGCGAAGAGGGGGGTCGCCAATCAGCAAACGCCTTGGAGAATTTTTCCTGCACCAAATTGAAACTGACTCGTCGCCTACCTACGGGGACGGTTTCAGAGCTGCTTATGCGGCAGTTGCTACTTATGGACTTACGAGAACCTTACACCATTTGAGGCACACTGGCGAGATAATTCGCTAAATGGCCTCATGCGTATACCCTACTTAACAATCTGTGCACATAGTTATTCTCTCGCTCTCTGAAATGCCAGCAATTGCCGTGGATATTCCTCATATTCAGGTGAGGTATAGAGGGTTCTTACATGGAAGGTAAAAATGAAACGTATTTCTGGAGAGTGGAAAGTGCCATCGGGGGGTCAGGAGGCCTTCCGGCTGAGAGCCAGTGAGCGATAGGGCAGATGAATGCTAAAGATCGATCGATTGCAGATCGAGTGAAGAATCAATGTTTGATGTAAAGTCTAATCAAAGAGCCCATGTGAGAAACTTCCTCAGTTTCGTATATTATACATCCGAGCCTGCATTCCCCTTCCCCTGTGAAACCACTGACTTGTCTCTTCCAACGCTTTATGGCCCACATGCATGGAGATAGCAATGCAACATGCGAAGTCGCTGCAGAACTATTCCTGTCGCGAACACGCACAACATTGCGTTACACAATACCGTAGGAAAATGAAACGACAAGCTGTCTCTATCATTCGCCCACACACCCACCCACCAGTGACCACTAAATCGAGCTGCACTGACATTGGCGTCCTCCAATTCAACCATCTCTGACAACCTGTCGCTGCTGACACTCTACCCAAATCCGAATCCTGGTTTAATATTCCCACAATCGTTGGGCATTGCAACCGCAGAGAGAATAGACACCAGTCCTGCACGAAATTCTGAACCCTACTCCTGAGCGCAAACAATTGAGAAAATCAACGGCACGTTATCTCAAAACTCTGAAAAAAAACTCGACACCCAGATCACTTCACATCACTAAACCCGGCAGTCGGATGCGCAACGCACGCCACAAAACATCGGGACCATGGGAAAAAAAATCCTTTTAATTGAGCGCATCAATTGAGCACATCAGGAAGATGCCGCCGCGGCGAACTGTTCCGAAACCGTCGCGCGCTCCTCTTCCATTCCGCGGATCCTCATGCTGACAGCGTGGCACAGCTGCCGCGAATCCGGGCTGGACCCGTCCATGTCATCAATGCCACTTGGCCTGCTTACGCCACCTCAGCATGTCGGGAAAGACCACGTGGCGCGTTATTAAGTGGTACACGTGACCTATAGCTTACGTGTCACGCCACATGGCCATGTCACCGGAAATCAAAGTGAACACGTGGCCCTCGTTACGACCGATGCTCTCGCAAACATTTATTAGTGCAGGTGAAAATTGATGTGTCCTTGATGGGAGTATTTTGATAAAATTACATGGGTTCTGATTGAATAGGGTAGGTAATAAATTAAGTCTTGTTGCAGTTACGAGGGCCAGCTGTGTTTGAGAGAAATTGTATGGTATACTCAACATTTAAAGTATTCTCAAATGTTTTCTTGTTCATTGTTTCCTCATTTATTTTTTTCAAACAAATAAAACAATGGAAAAAATAGAAAAAAACTTTCTTTTAGTAACGGAGTCTGGATGATTTTTAGAAATTGTCTTGTTTTCTCTTACATGAGTTTTCAATGGTATGCTTTAATGTGGTTGCAATTTAACATCAAACGAAATCTTGTATTGAATCCAATATGATTAGTTATTTATTTATTTATTATTTATTATTAATATTATTTTCTGTTGATGTAGCAGGGTGGTCATCAAAAAATGCATCAATGTCAGTTCACTCTCTTTTGGTGTTTAAATTTGATAAAGAATTCACATTTTTGAACTTTCATCAGAGGGGATAAATTTGTTCTCGATTTATTGTTGAATAGCCTTTGAACTGTAACTTTTCGCAATCTACAGTAAAAAATTACAAAATAAAAAATGAAATTGAAAATAAAAGGTTATTTGAATGTTGGATTTGAAGATTTTCTTATTGGGTAAACATTTGATTTGTAAATTAGTTATATTCAACGCACAGAACAATGCTATGTAAATGCTATGTTACGAAATAAATAAATAAACAAAACCTTGCATCAAAAATTTAGTTCTGCATTTGCATTGTCACCTTGGAATTTTTTTTCTTCTATTTTTGTAATACTTAGAATTTAAACCAAAGCATGTGTCCTTGAAAGTTGTGTAAACATGCACATAAACCAAAAGAAAACATATCAAGTTCATTTATTCGTAGTAAAATTAATTATTCGTTTCAGGTTATCTTAATATAATTGATATTTTTCACATATTCTGAATTTTAAAATAAATGATCAATTTGCATTATACATTGATTAAATTTTATTCCAATTGTGATTTCCTATATTTTTAGTGTTTTATTCCAAAAACTTGAAAATATGATACTTTCTACATCTATATGACATCATGTATGACCTTTTGAAACAAAGATGTATTATATTTCATGCTTAACAATTGGTGTTTAAATAGTATTTTAATAAGGATATAAAGGTTATGCTACATGAAACGAATTCATGCCAAAAATAAAATCACTTGGCATGTGTAGAGAAGAAGAATAAGAAAAGAAAGCGTTTTTGATGACAGTGATTGTTCAAACAAACACGTAGTAATAGAGTTTTTACATCAAATGGCTCTATTACTCAACTTTCTCTATTTGATCATCTTATCCTATCTTATTTTTCCTTAAATACCAATGAATTTTGCACTGGATTCGACTTTTATGATTTCCGCAGCTTCCAAAAGTGACGGTTCCAACATCATAGTCTAAGTGTAATTTTACATTTTATTTTGGTACTCTTCACACCAAAGTGAATGAATGAATAAATAAAAAGGTACCACAAAATGGGACACATTTTCTCGTACCAGATAGAGGCAAAGTCCATGTTGAGAATCGTCCCTCAATCCTTCGAACTGCTACGGTATTGACTTGCCCATTGACCCGAACATAAAAAGCTAAAGCTAAAGTAAAAGGCGTGGTAAATTCACAGTAAGACGCATTAACCAACCTGGCCCCAAAACACACACTTGCTTAGGACCCTGACAGAAGACAAAATCAACCCAGAAATCAGAAAGACACGCACAGTAATAAACCACACAGGAGAACCCACCGAGCACGACGCCCTTGATTAGGGTCCCAATTGAAACAACCAGAGGGAATCCAATGAAGAAGCCCTCACCAGCACAGAGCACAGCCTTCAAGGGAGAGCGAGAGTGAAGCAAAAACACACAGAAAGTGGGGGGGGGGGTGGGGTAGCAAAATAAAATGTTCACAATGGGGAGGTACAGAGGAGCACGAGACTAAGCAAGACCACGCCCTTCGTGGCTCCCCCCACCACCCCCCTTTGGATCTAGCGCAGTGAGCTCACGGCTTACGGAACTCGGACGCAACCCCCGCTTCGTGGGTAGTTGTGGGATGTGACTCCATGGCACTACATTCTCACCACCATCACCACTCTCTCATGCTGGAATCCTGTAGCAGCGGCAGCGGCAGCAGCAGATCTTGTGAGAACTAAAGACCCGGGTCAGCGCGGCGGCGCCAGCAGGGACAAATTTGTGAGCAGCAGCTTTGATGGGAGCTGCTGCTGGTTTCTGCCACGACCAGAACTGGACGACGGGAGTGGCAGAACCGCCAGCCAGGCAGACAGTGTTGCGGGTGGGCGAGCGAGCTCGGACCAGGAGTCGCGCGGCCAGGCCACGCAATCGTGGCCAAGAGCTTGCGGCTGTCGGCGGCACGTGAGGCTGCGGCACTTGGATGAGATGACCATGCGAGGACGGAGAGCCACGAAGCGGACGCTGGGATGGTAGCCTTGGCGGATTTTGGTGATGCGAGGTCGCTGCAGTTTGTGCGTCGTTGGGATCCCGCCGTCAGCGCCACGAACGGAGTGACACTTTTTATTTTCTGTTTTTACTCTCGCGGGGTTGGGTTGGGTTGAGTTTTATTTTTCCCACCTGCTCCCCTTCATGAACGGCAACGTATTCCATCGGATTCCATCGGATTAGTTAGGCAGCGCCACGGACACTTATGTTCCATCGCTACTGGTGTCAGTTCCCATTGGATGTTACCGCAACCTCAGGGCCATATCCGTCCTTTCTCTTCCGTTTGTGGAGCTACTACTTTATGGCTTGAGGTTTTGGTCGATGTGAGTGCAGCGCGGGCAGAGTTGTGTGTTGCGAGCACGAGTACGAGGGATTAGCATGAGTCTGGATGGTAAGCCCTGGAGTGGAGAGTGTGTGATGTGCTTGTTTAGGTGATGAGGAGAAGTCAATCGCTGGAGGGCTGGTCCTTGATTGCTTGTTTGGTTTTGGTGTCGTCGGGAGTAGCTACGATAGAGCATCTGTCTATTTGCAGGTGATCGGTCTCAAAGATTTCGATATATCCGCGATTGTTCGCGATGCCTGGCGTTTGAGACTGCAGTCGAGAGGACTGTAGTGGCTCAAACTGGAGTGTTGCTGTCAGTGCAAGCTGTTGTTGTGCTCTGTCGTTCCTAACGATTTATTCAACTGATGTGTGTTCCCCGTTTATTCTCTCAGGCGCCATTGCTTAGACTTGCAAAGCAGAGTCTTCTTTACATCTTCTTTGCAAATTCAGAGGGCTACGCGGAGTTGTTGTGGGGATCGCGGACGAGGTGAATCCTCTTCTCAATTCTGTGACAATCGCTGTGAGCTTGAACATACGAAACGATGACTCTGAACACTTTGCGGAGATTGGTGCTCGCTGTGCCTGACCGGAGAAGCAGGAGATAGCGGACGGACGAAGTCTGAATTTTTCCCCTGCAAACGAAGTCTGATTTTTGGAGTGGAACAATCGGCTTGTGACGATGAGCTCAAACGGGATTTCTCGCTCCCCTTTCGGAAACTTTTCCAGCGCAATCACCAGGCGCACCTCAGCAGACGTGGACAAAATCGAAGGCTTGAGGTTGATCGAGCTCCCTTACTCGCCCTTAATCCGCAATGATCACTCCGACACGGACGATTTCGATGACCTTTTCATCTCTCCTCGGGATTATGGAAGCCGGCAAGCGTACTTGCGTTCCTACACCTTCACGAGAGCGGAGCCAAAGGCGCCGGAGAAAATCAAGAAATCGTTGCTGCGTTTGAAAGCCGCGGCATGGGCTGCCGTGGCTTGTAAATACCGGCTCCCGCTGCGAGCTCGATTACTGAAAGAGAGGATGCTTATTAAAACCTCAGAGTATCTCAGCAACGGTGTGCACTACTTGCGTCCCTCATGTGTACAGATGCCCAAATGCTTGATGGCTGGAGCCTAGTCGTCACTCCTCTCGGAAGAGTCGGGACATTTCTCGTCGCCAGTCTCCAATCTTCCACAGATTGAACCCAGCTCGATGTACTGTCGTCGTATTTACCCATCAACGCTCCTGCCGAAGTCTTCCGCTGGAGCGAGAGAGTGATTTTTGCTGCTTTTTGCACGGATTGCTGCAGAGAAGGGCCCACGTTCGTGAACCCGTCATCCGGGTATTTTTTATTTTGATGATTCTGACACCCAGAGGAAGCAGTTTTGGAGTGAATGTTACGAAATTGCCTACTGGTGATTTCCAGTCGTTGCCGCTAGTATGCGAAGCTTGACAGAGCCGCCACTCTAGTAGACGTTTCAGTTTTCCGTAAATATTTTTTTTTTCTCCGTTCGTTTTTCCCTTTTTTAAGTGTTCATGTGTTCTTCTTACGGGTTGTTGCCAGTGGCAGCAAGTAACACAATTTGAGAATTGTGTACTGTTACCATTATCTTTCGATTTCTGCTCTCGCTTCTTTAGTTTACACGTCTGGCTCATCTCTTGACTAAGTGGAAAGTAATATATCTTCGCGGAACACAAATGGCTGTAAACAAGTGTGTTTTTTTTTCCTGTCGAAATGAAATGGTGCCGTGCGTGGTAATATTGGAATGTACCATGATCTCGGTTTTCAGCTCCTCGGCTCGCAATGCAAAGAAACACGCATGGTTCAGATGAAGACGAAATACTCTTTTTGGGCGCAGTGTAGCATGTAGCAAATATTTGCGTCTTCTCATTTTTTTCTAAAAAATATATCTGTCGGTTCAAAGTTTATGCTCTAGCATTCCAATCTACTGGATGGCAAGACTATCGTTGTTTACCAAGGGCCATGATGCTCATTTTCAAGCCCATTTCCAACTGAACCCTTTCCTAAGATCACTCTACAGGCGCACATGCACCGCTTATTACGAAACTTAGATCAATTAAAACACAACAAAATCTTCACATCATGGTTGGGCGTCGAAGAAGTTGCTGATTCTCGGAGAATACATTTGTAACCACTGACATTACTCCCTTACTTCGAAAAATATGACAAGTTCACAGAACTCGGTAAACCCTTCTACATTACAAATCAGATGTCCACTTACTGGACAGATTGGAGGGGACTAACTGCAAACCGGCACTTTCCTCTACGGATAAACACTGTCTAATGTAAGGAACTGTTTTCTGAATCTTCCCCCGATGAATATTACGTTCATGTGGACAATCATAATAAGCGTAAGCCATCTGATAGCAGAGATCTGGAGTCTGTGCGCGGGTACATGAAACGGAATTCTTTTTCATTTCAACAAACCAAGGAATGATGGCTCCATAAGCCTGCGCTAGACCTCCGAATGTGGACAATGGGGTAATAAGAAGCTTGTCCACAAAGCTCAACAACAGGATTTCTATCATTGCCATGACGTCGTCATCTGAACCAAATCCTTGTTTCCCTCGGTGGGTCAGCTGTGTAACCATCACGGTCTCCCCTGTAGTGGTCTCTTGCTTATCGTACATCCTCAGAAGCTCTTCACTGAGAGCTGTGTGGAGAGAGGTCACAAATACCCGTATCACTTGACCAGATCGAGCGGTACGGCTTCCGATTCCTCGCTCATCCTCACGGACAGCGCCTGGGAGAATATTGTTTTCAGATATACATTGCTTCACGTGCTTATTTGCTCTCTTACTGGCCCTTTCGAAATACACTTTCCGACCGTAAAGGAATCGTACCTGCTCGTTCATGAATCCCAGTTGTCAATTCCCGGCCACATCCCTATCTACTTCGGAAAGCATCGTTGGAAGAATATCGTGCAGTATCGTGAACAAAAACATTCAAGCAAGAGAGAAAATCCATCTGCACAAACACACTCACGTACGCAGACAAACACACCTGTATACCGACACGAGTATCAACATTGGCGAATAGGGCAATGTCGTGCTCTTTCACTTGCTGCCATACGTTATCTCTGGGTAGCATCAGACTCCGCAGTAAGTATGTAAAAGTGAGTGATGGATCGGGGAACAGAGCCTCCAGAGCAGGCCGAAATGCAGGAACCGCGAAAAGCTTCGGAAGAAAATAGAGACAACCGGTGAAATGTAACCACGTTGCCTCTGCTAAGAATGCCTGCTCCGTGTCGCAATAAAATCTCGTCACTTCAGGGTCTGAGAACTCTACTTTCATTGCTGAAGGTGTTGGGACATACTTGCCACGTTTTGTGGCATCGACACCTGTTGGACACGTACAGCCCAAACAAGTTCATCGATTTCTTATTAAACAGGTACCAAAATCAACTTCGACAAACAACTACAGCTTTCAACAAAAAAATCATTCACGCTTGGCTACGCATGTATCAAGCAGCAATGAATACAAGACAAAATGGGAAACATAGAGAACCACGCCATCGGCACCCGTAAAAAGGAGATATCAAATATTCACATTCCAAACAGATATTTACAGAATTCTCCTTGCATACTGAGGTATAAAGAACGACATACCTTTTTCAAAATATCTGCTAGACTTCCAGACAGGATCCTCCAATCCAGTCAATCTTCCTAGAAAGGTGGACTCCGGGCCATGGCGCCCAGGAAGAGGAAAGCGTTGATCAAGAAGCCAGCTCGAACCCAAAAAGGGCTCACACATCGTCGATGAAATGAGGGACCAGGTGTTTATTAGTATGACTCGTTGTGTTAGGACAGCATAGAGTACTGCCGAAGTCAAAAGAGAAACCTTATTCCCCAAACCAACACCTCCAAGTTCCATGATCAAGAACTTGCAGCTGGAGGTTGCAGTTCCGGTCCGAAAAAATTCCGTGATGTCTCCGATGCTTCTCATGCAAGTACGATGGAGAGCAGCGTATTCCTCTAGCACCAAATCCCATTGAGGGTTTGGATCCAAAGGTTTTGTATGGGGTTTGCGTGCATAGCGTGGGCCCAACTCGGTCCGGGCCGCGCACGAATTGTGAGACCTCCATATCTTCCCTTCAAAATCACAGCATTAGAACTTAGGCGTTGAAGTTTATCGACACCAAATTAGCAGGGTGTAAGCAGATTCCCCGGTAAACGCAGCACTAGAAAATGGCCTACTAATCAAACGATACATATTCCTTGTATGACATTTCATTTTAAGCTTCTTCTAAGCAGCTCATGGCGATGATTTTTCAGGACGTCTATCACACCACAACCATTTCCATGTTATTTTTCTTCTCACAGAGAACAGGACCCCTACAAAAATGAAGGACGACAAGTGTACCTCGTTCTTCTTCACAAATCCCTGGTACAAGAAAGGTTCTGCAATATTCTAAAGGAAGAATCAACACACAACCCCCCCCCCCCCCCCCCACTTGAACGGAAATATGGTTGAAATCTGAGATGGTACTCACTGGCTACTCTCGTCCCATCTAGACCTTCAGTAATAACTCAGATTTGAATGATTGGATGAACGATTCACTGTGAACAGCACCAACTGTGAAAAATCGCTGCGAAAACCAATCTCGGTACCGAGGTGCTCAATAAACCCTAACCCACCAGAGACCAATAACATGTACTCACTGCACAAGCAATCAAAGTCACTGCAATCCTCTATGCGGTTGGTTCCGAAAGCAAAAAAATCTTATACCTTGGCATCGGCATCGTTGAAGCTGACATTACTAAATGTTGTAGCGCTCCGAATAGCACCAATCAGAGCCTGCACAGGGCTCTCAGACGCCTCGCCTACAAATGAGACCGTAGGATTCGCATGAAATCCATTGTCCTGCGGGTTGGGAAGCTCAAAAGGCGACGGTGAAAGCGTGAATGAGAAGAAGAGCAAGAGAAATGCAGGTACGACGAGGTAACGGAAGAGCCCCCACTTCCTGTTGCTGCCCTTCATCCCGGTCACCATATTTCCTTTGGAACCATAAACCCAATCATCTACACATCACAAAAAAAACCATCGCTTCTGTTCTATTCATAAGAGGCTTCCTCCAACACTTCGATTCATCAGCCCACTTCACAAAATGTCCATGCAGAAGAGACTTCCTGCATCGCTTCGATCCGTCAACCCACTTCGCAAAATCTCTGTCCTTCACGATGGGTTGACAGACTTATTACAGACAGACTGTCGTCAAAACACCGTCGAGCTTTGTTGCCTTCTCGTTCAACAATTAGACGCAACATCAATACCACCTAAAACTAGGCCTATTTGCGCGCCTAGTCTAGGTACCCATGACCATTTATATTTTCCTTTTTTTTTAGTATTATCAGTGAACGGGCTCATGGAACTCTGAGAATTTAGGTGAGAGAGAGAGAGGCTCTGAGGTGGGATGGTTGCCTGTTGGTAGAATCAATACAGCAGGAAACTAACCTTTATCCATAGTGTAGTTTAGATACATCTGTCTCACCAAATTCTAACCTGTGCTGCTATTGTGTATGAGGAAGACACCCTCATTCTGCTCACACAAAAGGATGTGAACAATTAATTGGAGATAAGAGATAGGATTAGGGCTTCTTGGTCATTAGAACAAACAAAGACACACTCTTATATGATTGCGGCTTGAGAAGGAATTGAGGCCTTTCGACGGAAGGGCACTAGCACAAATTCCAACAACCACAACAATGTTGTTATATAATAACACAACTATATGGTGAAAGATAAAAATATGGATTTTATTATAAAAGAGTCTAATAGAAAGATATAGTAGCAAAACATGGATAAATGATAGGAAGGTAGTAAAAGCTTTTAGTATTAATGTTGCCTTTTCATAAATAAAAAAAGGTCTCTATTTACTTTGTAAGGCCACAAATAAGGCAAAATTAAGTAGATTAAAAAATTAAATCATATAGACGTCATTAGGAGGGAATTAAGAATAGATTTTAACAAAACCTACCTCAAAAGACCAAGAATTGATATTCAGAGAGAATTGGTTGTTAACTAGAGTCAAAATCAAATCCCAAGGTATAAAATTGCCTATCTACGGTAATTTTGAGGTTCTTTGGTTGATTGGAAAGCAAGATTTTATAGTAGACTAATGAATGATTTTTTGGAAGTTGGTTTTATGTAATTTGGAGCCATATTCAGTTTTTGAGGGCTTTTCAAAGTGAGAGATGTACTTTATGATTTTGGATTTTGAGAATTAAGACAAGGTTTATAATTTTGAAGATTATTTGACTATCATAGCATATTTATGAGTGAAATTTTGTGAGTTTGTAATTGTACTTGAAACAGCACTAGTCTATCTCAAGTGTCCAAGATCCTTCTAATCCACAGTAATATAAAACCTCATCACAAGGTAGGACAAACTCGACGAGAACAAAACTAAATAGAACTAAACAAAATGGGACTCAAATGATAAAACTGAGTAACTGGAATTAGAACAAAACAAGAAGATGTAAAATCCAATTGTATTAAGAGAAAGAATCTAAAGCCATACCTGACCAAATGCCCCAAAAGGTCGTAGCCAGTCCTATTTATACTTTGTTCTACTACCTTGGACTTTCTAGAATATTCCTAGATGATGGACTCCACTTAGATAATCACCTTAAACTCCTTTTAGAAGGTTCCATGGTAAGTCCTACCTAGATAACTGCCTTAAATTCTTTTTAGAATGTTCCATGGTAAATCCTATGTGGTCCAATAACCTAATTCCAATCCTAGAAATTTCCATAACTTCTCAAATATGGTTTTAACTATCTATCTTTATGTGCTAATAATACAAATATCTTATTTATATCTTATTACAATTAATCTCCCTTTACTAATGCAAAACATCCTCGTTTTGCTCCCAATGGTATCTCCAAATTGTCTCTTGGTAATGGGTGAGGTTTTTTGCAGGTTTTCATATTACATTGTTGATAGGATAATCTTTCCAAAGAACTTTGTACTAAAGTTGTGGATGTTCATTGCCACAACAAAGGTTGCAATGCTTCAAAATGCTGCCCAGTTCATGTTTTTGTTGATCATCAACTATAATTGGTGGTTGTGGTGGTTGATGTCAATCTGAAAAGTGCTTTGGCTTAGTATGAAATTCCTTCAATTGCAAAACATGGAGGACTGGATGGATCCAAATATGTGGCAAAAACTCGAGGTAATATCCAACATCAGAAATCATTGTAAAAGTATAAAAAGATCCAAGCAATTGAGGTGCTAGTTTATAGATTTGAATTGATGTAACAAATAGCAAGTTGGCATTGGAAAGTAGTACTTCATCATCCTCTCGAAAGATCTTATATTCTTGATGGTTATTCACATATTGCTTTTGTTGATTCTGTGCAATAAAGAAGTGGTCCCGTGCCTCTTGTAAGGCCATTGTAAGTTGTTGTATAAATTTCTCTATTGTCAAATTGTTGGTATCGATGGGAGAATGGAAAGTTACTAATGTAATCAGATATTGATTTGTATTAAGGAAAAATATTGAATGATCAGTACTTGCTTAAATACTATCATTGTAATCAAACTCCAAGAGTGTCAAGTATTCATCCCAATCATTATGACAAACCACCACAAATACTCGTAGCATATCTTCCAGGCCCAATTTGCATACTCTATTTGTCTATTTGTTTGAAAATAGAAGGTTATAGACATGGAAAGTTGTTTACCTAGTAGCTTAAATAAGATTTGTCAAAAAATTCTTGTGAAATATGGATCTCAATTTAAAATGATGATACGACGTAATCCATAGTGACAAAAGACAGTATCAAAGAAGATTCATATAAGTGCTAAGGCATCAATATTTAAGTATGCCACGATAAAGTAGAGTTGCTTCAAGAGTCAATCTACAAAGACGGCAATCGTAGTATGATTATGAGGCATTTATGGCAAACACATAATGAGATCCATAGTCACCTACTTCCAACATGCTGTAGGTAGCGGAATCAGCTGCAATAGTTCAAGAGATATTGTATTGCATGCTTTAATATGTTGATATGACTCACATGAGTGCACAAAAGTTCAAACATCATGATTCAAACTTATCCAAAACCATATCCTTGAGATCCATTCTAACGTCTTTTCTCACCCCAAATGTCCAGATATAGGAATGTCATGCCTCACTTGAAGTATATGCATTTGAAGTATAATATTGTCAGGTACATAAATTTGCTTCTTGAAATAGAACAAGCCATTACTAAGATTGTAATCTTGATACTATATATAATCCACCTTCAATTGATTACTAATCATCTTGAAATAAAGAACTTGATGTATAGTTTTTTTCTATTTTACTTCTTTGATTAGATTTAGAATGACACTACTAATGGTAGCGACTTCTATCTTATTTTATACTTCATCCTTCAAATATGGTCTTTGTGATAAGCTCTCTAGCACAATATGTTTAATCGCCTTTGCTTCTACTCAAGTTGGATATCAAAAAGTTGCAACTGTTCTTTTCAATAATGATGTGATTTTTTATTTATTTATTTATTTTTTCCAGATGCAAATCAAGTAGCAAGGGTTGATAATCAATCCAAAAAACCATTGGCTTCTTCAATAGATAGTGATGCCACACCTTTATGGCATGTATAATCACTAATTCCTCTCGATCACATATAGAGTAATTGCGCTTTGTCTTTTTGAGCTTGCATGATTTATACACCACAAGTTGAAGGTTCCTACCGAAGTCTTATTGAAGGACTACTTTAAAAGCAAAGTTGGAAGTATCAATGTCAAACATTGTCATATTACATTAAGACTTGCTTAAGAATGCATTGGGCACTTGGATGTAGAAGATAGAATAGAAATTGCTACAATAATATCCTTTCTCTAATAAAATATTAAATAAATTTTAATTAAATCTTAACAATACTAAACAAGCTTTAATCAAATTCAAAAGAAACCTCAAAGAAATTACAAGAGAAAAAATAAGAAATCTTAAAAGAGTTGAAAGAAAATCCACAATAAATCTTAAAAGAATCCTTAAAAATCCTAAAAAATATTTAAATAATTAAAAATATATCTTAAATAAATCTAAAGCAAGTTCTAATTTAATCTTCATTGAAATCCTAATGGACTTCAATCAAATTCTAGACAAATTTTAAACCCTAAATCAAATCCTAGACAAATCCTAGACAAACCCTAAATTCTAAACCAAACTTTAGACAAATCTTAAATCCAAAATCAAATTGTCGAAAAATTATAAATCCTAAACCAAATCCTATACAAATCCTAAATCCTAAATAGAATCCTAAACCAAATCCTAATTCTAAACCAAACCTTAATCAAACCTTAATCAATTCAATGTAATCCTAGTACTATTTAGAACCTCAATATCTATCAATTGAACCATTGATCTTACTTAAAAATTTACACACTTTTAAACAACTAAGTTAGCAATAAGCATACAAAATTTGAAGATAATTGTATATACCAAATGGAAGAAAAATCCTAAAATCTGCTTGGGTGTTGGTCGACCTCAGATTCCAATCTAAATGTTAAACTTCCAATACCAATATCTTTCTTTTAAACTATTTAATCGTTCTCAAATTTTACATATGTATAGCAAATCAAGTCTCTTATTTTTACATGTATTTTTTTTATATCAATCCAACTAATAGATTGCTAAAGATCTTAGAAATCCTAACTGCCTCTTAAAGTCCAATTTCTGAGACTTCAACCTACTTGAAATTCAATAGTCTTTAATTCAACAATTCGATCAAGTTCAAACTTATAATATACACTTTAAACAACTATTCTCATAAGTCCTCAAAATTTGAACTATAGATCTACTACCAAACTTACGAAATTCTCCAAAATGTAATATCTTTTTTATTTTATAAATTCCAGAGTCAACTAAAACAATTGTTACCTTCCAAAACTCTTGCAAAGTCATTATACACTTAAATCACCCAAAATCATTGCTTAAAAAAAACTTTTTAATTTTGACTCTTAAATCCTAATCTTTAATCTACAAAAGAATCCTTGAGTTGCCATAGGTGTCCAATTTTGTGCCTCGGGATTAGATTTTGATCTAGATTGATAATTGATCGTTTTTAGGTATCAAAATTTATCTTTTTTAGTTAATTTTTGTTAAAATCAATTCTTAACTTCTTCATGTGTTCATATTCTTTATTTTTCTAGTCTATCTTATTTTGTCTTATTTATGGCCATAGAAACTAAGTAGAAGCCTACTTTGTAAAAAGATAGGATTTACATCTTTAA